TAATAGTTTTGATATTAAGTATAGTTAATCTAGATTAACTATTTAATTTTTAACTTAACTATAATTAGATATAGAAATTCTATTAATCTAATTATAATCTAGCAGTTAGATATAACTGACCCTATTAACCTAATCTAACCTGGCCAAACACCAGTCTAAGTCTAAGAATAGAAGACCAGATCAATTAAATATATATATTTAGTTATTAGAGAGTATAAATAAGTTGATACTAATATTTATTAGTAAAAGTAGCTCTGTAGTAATAATTATAATTAATTATAAAGAATTAATCTAAATATACAAATAAATATCTTTATATATATTCTAACTTTTCTACTTCTATAATAACTCTGTTATTAATAGATAATAGAATATATTTAATCCTGGTATATAAAACTATATACTCCCAGTATAATTTTTTAGAGATAGATTATAGAGTATATACTTATATAATAAGACTATTATTAATTTTTTCGCTATTTGTACTATTAGTCACTGTATTGTATTTCTTTTGTAGCTTCTTATTATTCTATTGCTTTCTGTCTGTTGTGTCCGCTTTGGCGCTAGATAAGGGTCTGTAACAGTTATCTTAATTAAATATCTAGTTAAAAATATCCCTAGATAATAAATTTAATAGTAGATCTATTAATTTAATATCTAAAATATTCTATAATCTTAAATAATTATAAAAATAGAAAACTATATTAAAAAAATTATTTAGAGTTTATATAAAAAGTTCTAATTTAATTATTAAAATTATAATAAAGCAAGTTTTTTTTTAAAAACTATAAATAAACTTTAAATAAAGCCACTATTATAAAATAGAAAATAGAGAACTATATACTATATAAGAAAAAATACTTAGAAAAAATACTCTATTAGATAGGTTATTATAGAAATAGATATTTTAGTTTAAAACCTTTAGAAATTTATATAAAATAGAAATTCTTTTTGTAGAGTCTATAACTACTATTTTAATAGATATAGATACTCTGGCTATAATATTATAGAGCATAAAATTAATAAGTATTCTAATTATCTAACTATTTAACTTTTCTATAGAAATACAGATTTTCGGGGATTTTGAATAGCTTCAATTCTAGGAGACGCGAAAAAACGCGTGTGTCTACCAGATTGCTTATATTACCGGGTTGCTTACCGGTTATGTTAAGTCCTGACAATGACTAATTCCATTGGATATTGTGCTTTATGATTTTCAAAGAGACCATCTTGAGCTTGAGGTGGGGATATTTTACATATAGAGATATTATGGGTTTATGAATAATTCATATACAGTGATGATGGGGTTAAGATCGTGCTCCGCCTTTTATCTTTTACAGCAATGGCATTTGATTGGGCCCTTCCCCTGAAATCCACTTCGTTACCCACATGTGGGAACAGCTCTGGCAGGCTGGCACGGGCAGCACATTACCCTCTCCAGGCTTTATTTAAAATCCCCACGTATTCATTGTGAATAACCTAATTTAATTTTCTCCTTTTCTCCTTTTCATTCTTTGATCTCCAATGCCACTATTTCAAAGCACAATCTTTACCTTGTCCCGTGCTGTTTGACTTGTTATTTCCCACTCATTACACGGGCGAAGTATATATTATCAGTGTTAATTAGTTCAATATCCAACTCACTGTGTTTTGTCACACCTCGCATTACATACATCTGAGGAACCCGCGGAAAAAGTTGATTCGCACCCAGCTCCTAGCTGGTGAGGTGTATTACCAGGACCTATATACACCGCTTCTTTGAATTGATTACACTCAGCGACCCGAGTTGCTCTTATACAATCTCTGGCGTCTGCTCTCTCCTCTCTTCCCCACTTCCGATTTTCTGGTCATGAAAACACTCCTTTGCGACTGCAAAGCGTCCTGGAGCTTGAATGTGTGAATGTGGCATGGAAAATACGACCTGTCCCTCAATAGAGAAGTGGCTCAGTGTGCTGCTTGTGGTATCATGTGCAGATAGAAATACACAACTTTCCCGGATCCCACCCGCTCCAGAATACGACCAGAAAGAATAAAGAGCCTGGCAGATAATCGTGCCCGCGGAGTCTCTGCTGGGCCCTAACCTAGCATTCATGGCTTTCATTTCCAAATCTCAACAGCAGCGGACTCCCGCCACCGATGCAGAGATGCGGGCAAAATATAAGTCAGACTATAGCAAAGGCATTAGTCGAGTACCGGTCCATCCAATTCATCAACTACAAGGACCTTTCGAGGAGTCAATTGTTGAAGCTACCGAAGGCACTGAAAGCGAACGGTTGGTTGGGCTTGATGCACAATCCTGGCGTAGAGACCTGCTAGAGAGTATCGAATATCAACGACTGTGCGGACGGAAATGGCGCCAAAGGCTCGGAGAAAGGCAAGAAATCAACACGCTTTCATAAAGCACAAGTTTTCTGGTCAACGTACAAACTGACCGATATTAGGTATCATCCGTTTTGGAAGCTTGTTGCTCAAATATCCTTCGGCATTCACCTTCTAGTTGAGAGGCTCGCTAAGTCCGACTTTGAAGTTCTGAAGATCCTTCAAAGTCATGTAGATGAGTTAGATGGATTTCTTGGAAGATCTACAGAGGACTTTCTTCTAATTCAGGTTGATGTGCGCACACGAATCCAATACCTTAATCTTCCCCTTCAGAACCCAGAGGTTTTTGATGGGATGTTACAAGACCGCAACTTCCGCCTAACCATGATTGACTATAATCAAAAAATCGAACATGCCATTGAACGATTCACTACCGCTATTGAAGACGCACTGAAAGATATGCAGAAGGGAAAGCAAGCGATTGGGATTTTGTGGCGATATTTAAAACAGTCTGCAGAAGAACATGGACCACTGCCTAGTAACTTGTTCGCCATTCACAAAGCCATGCTAGCAAATACGGAGGGTTGGAATGTAGCCTTCTCGAAACTCCGCCGTAAAGGGCTTGCACTCCAATCCGCATTGTCTCAGCTCTGTCTGGCGATCACCGAGTTGCAGAGACGTGTAGGTGTAGCGAGCAGAAAAGAGGCGGTAAGTACAAGACTGACCATTCTTCCACCTCCCCTTCTCATAGCCGAGTTAGATTCCTGACAAAGAACAGGTGTCCTTGATACGGATTGCGACTGCACCGCCTCGAGACAGGTCAATCAGAGAACGATTATTCGAGAAGCATGCGTCCACCATGTTCCCAAGCCTCTCGAGCTCAGAAAAGCCATTGCCCAGTGATCCATTTTTACCAGATGTAATAAACGCCCGGCCCGAGGTACCTCTATCTAAGCAGATCGAACGCCGCAGGGTCACGCGAAAGAGTGCCCCGAATCTTCGAGAGCATACCGCTATTCCAGGAGGAGCGGAATGTGTGAATGATGTTGCCGATGGCTCTAGTCCAGCCACGCCTGTGCCGAGAATTCAAAGGAACTTGAGTGGGAGATTTTCAAGGGCTATATCTACTAGGAAGAAGTTTGAAGGTGAAAATGCTGGATTAAAACAATCACGACCCGCTACAGCTCCTTGTAGGGGCTTGAGGTCTCGGAGCATTTCCTTGGAACAGTTGAAGGGCTTCTGGAGACTGAAGAAAGGCCAGCAGTACGAGCAGCAAGATATAGTAGGGCCACCACATGCGCCGCCCCCAAGTCGGCCTTTTACTGCCCAAGCATCAGCGAAACGACAAACTATGTTGACCCAGTTCTTGCATCATTTAAAGTCAGATAGGGTGATTGACGCTTGGGAAGGCACAATTCAGAAAGAGAGCGCCGTCCGTCATTCTCCGCAGAGAAGGAAGGATGAGCCTTGCAGCAAGTTTCGTGCGACATCAGCAACGCCTGATACGTCCGCAGAGCTTCAAACAAGGCTTTTTGAGAGCGACCTGGAGAGATCAATGTCCTGGTTACAAGAATATCCGTCACAGAATACATATTTACTAAACCCAAGACGTGATGTTGCACCTAGAATCCACGTTGTTTCCGTCCATTTGACACTGGCGGGGGAGGAAGGATGTTGCGTCAACAATAATCACGATAACGATATAACAAAGACAGACACACAGTCGACTATAACGGCTCTACCGTCTGTACCATCTCCGTAAGTAAACGGCATGAGTGCGAATCCCTGTCATTGCAGAAGTTGGCCTCTCATGCCAACCACCGGATGCTACTTGGAGACTTTTGATGAAGGCCTACACCCTCAGCCGAAATGAGCACGACTTGAAGGAATTGCACTGTCAAACCAATCTATAACATGTTGTTCCTTCTGAAAGGGCTGAGATACTTTCTTTCTTTCATTGGCAAATGTAGTATATACTGAATGTTAATGAGCAGTCAGCTTCAGATGTCTTGCAGCCAATGACTGTTAGAGCATAGAATGACGCAAACCGCACACTGCGTTATTGGGCGATACTCATACAGCTATGTGATAAATAACAAGAGGTAAGTTCAGCTGCTTTTTCAGTCCTAGTCTTATGGGAAAAGTCTTTTCTCAAACCATCAAAGTAGTACAAGAACGCCTAGAAAGAACAAAGATGATGAAAATCAAAGAGAAAAGAAATAGAATCACCAAACCACAAAAGTCTAACTAGCGAACCAGATCTTGTGCGGGCATAGAAGGATAGTATGGGAGAAGCAGAATATTACTTGCAGCGCTTCTCGACGATGGTCGAGCCATGTTCTTCGTACTCCTTCTTCGAAATCCACATTTGATGGAAGGTTCCTAAACTAGCAAGAATACTTCCGCCAATCCAAGACCCGAATTTACGCTCGGCCGTGTTTCCTGGCGCGGAGATCCTGACCCGCGGTCCCGGGTAAGTCTGCATAAGTTCTTGGTTGAGGCGGTCGGTGAAGCCATGGAGTAAGCTGGATGCACCCGTTACGACGACATTAGCTAATAAATGCGGGCGAATGTCAACGTCAACCCCGTTGAGTGCGTTCTTGATCAACTCAGGCACGGTCTGAGCCTGTGTTGGAGCGGGGAATGGCGACTCCGGGTCTGGGATCGCAGCTTTTGCATCAAACAAGGACTCCACCACTCTATAGCGATCAAGACCGAATACTTGGTTGTAACCGTCTGGGAACTCGAATGGCCGTCCAGGATTGCTTTTTGCGACTTCCTCGTTCGAGACCCCGTTCGGACCCGTCGCGGAGAGCTTGTTGGGTCCAGGCCACACCTGGACAACGCACTCTTTGAACTCGGAAAGGGTTCGCTCTTCGAGCAGGGTACGGTACGAACCGTCCGGCACCTTTTCGGGTGGGAAAGCCTTGTACTTTGCCTGCGAGGGTTGACCTGCATCGACAGCAGTTTTTGAGGAAATGAGGTAGTGAGGGGTGATAGTAATAGGTTGCGGTGTGTTTGTCTTAAACAGAGCGCGGATTTGCGATGAGATGTAGTCGCCGCCTAGAGGGGAATGCTGAACTCCACGTTTTAAAATCATTCCATCGTGCACCGGTGTTATGGAGATATTGGAAGCACCGACATCAACAACAAGGGCAGAGGCTTTCCCAGCTGCGAAGCTGAAGGAGGACCAAAGTGTCAGCAGAGTATGCCGGACGGCTTAGAATGAAGGGTGGGTACATACGCCGCCAGAACGCCGTTTCTTGCCAAATAGAAAGCCGGTGTTCCCCATTTTTCCATAGCGATCTCGATGGTCTTTTCACGCGCTTTTGTAGGGTTCCAGCCACACTCTGACATCAAGAGCGGACTGTCCGCGAGAGGCTTCTCCTCAGTTTCCAACCCCTCCATCTCTGTGGGAAGCTCTCCATCGGCAATATCGTTCAACCCATTTTGGAATGGATTTCCCGGCCTAGGACCCGTAAGTCGCGATGTAAAAGAATACTCCCACACCTTCTCTGCCATGTCCCAATCCTCCACAATTCCATCTCGGCCCATTGGGTTATGCACGGACAAGCTAGGTCGTGGGGTGACAAAGACGTCATCACTGAAAATCAGCCTTTCTTGTCCCTCGGAAGTGTATTTTCCATAGTATGTTGGAATCAAGGACTTTGGCGTGTCTTCGCCTGCAAAGCCGGCGCGCGTTGTCGAAAACCCAGGATCAAGTACTATAGCCGAAACCTCATCTGTACGTAATGAGCCATCAGTTCTTGCTCTGCTCTAAAAGACGTAGTCTATGTTGTAATTTGCATATAGGAAAGCTTTCCACTGCGCGACGCATTTTCGAGAGACGACATACCTCCACCGTATTCAGCAGTCGAAGGTGGAATGGACGGGTTCATGACGGAATCAAAAGAGAAGCACCGCAATTCGAGCGGTAGCAAAATTACCCAGCGGTTCGGAGATTACAGCTAGAGAAGGGAATATAGTCCTGACAAAGGCCAGCGAGGCAACACTGTGAACAGTGAGGCCAAAAGCGTGGGTGGTGATGGAGGTGATTTATAGAGGGTGGGTGTGTTTTGTCGTGCGGGAACCAAACTTAAAAAGGCTTGGGTTGGGTGGGTGTGCTTCTTCACCTACACTACGTACTGCTGCCATTACCAGGTCTTATCCCCACAGCTACGAATGATTCAGATTTCCCTCTCTTATGCGTACATTTCCATAGCGGAAGACCCATATTATACTTAAACTCTCTTTTCTATCCACTTGACTGCTAATCTTCTAGGTAGATGCCATACACCAAATCACAACGATGATGGACACTGATACTACCTCAATCCCGGAGAATCTCTTCCGACCGGTAAAGAAAAGAAAGTTCTTGCGACGTCGTCCTGAGGGCACACCAGACGATTATCGCATTGAAAATCGAAGGGATAACTGTGACTCAAATCCCACCACCCCTCAGCCCCAAGCAGACAATGATATCGTGCACCCTACTGATCTTGTTCGTCTACGACGTCTTCATCGCTTTCGCAAGGGTGGCATTGGATTTTCTACTACCTCACGACAGTCGGCAGACAATGATAAGAAAGCTGTCGTATCCACAGAATCAGTAGAGGATCTCGAGGCGCAGAGGATCCAAGCTATGTGTGACCGATTTACAGCACATACTGGACAGACAGTGGATGTTGACAAACATATGTACGATCTTACATCATATCCTCTTCTGTGGCTCGTGTTGTCTGTAATGGAGACTAACAAGATAAGGATGTCTTATATAGAGACCGAAATGGCTAAGCGACACCGGCACACTGTCCCGGAAGATGATCCAGATAGTCCCTTTGTAGACGAACCTGGTGCTGCTCGGCCCACAACCGACCCTCAACGTGAACCAGCGTCTTTAGGTAAACTCCACGAGATCGATCTTGGCCAGGAGACCAAGCTACAGAATATCGCACGGACAGAGGCAGCGACAAGAAAGTTAGCAAGAGACGATGACGATGAGCATCTCAGGCATGACGACTCTCTCTTCAATGCAGCTCCTATGGGAAAGGACGAGAGACTACGGCGTCATCAGAAACGACGAACCAGTGAGGATGTGGAAAGAGACAGACTCGTAGAAGAAGTTCTGCGCGAAAGCAAACGTAAGCACTTCAACCCTTCCCATAATACTTTCAGCCATGTTCCAGCTCTAACAAAGAAAATAATATTTCTTGTAGTGGATGTATATGAGGAACCAGAACATGAAGCAGCGGCAGCAGGAGACGACCAAGCTGCTGATGACAGAGTCGCCGAACAGTTCCGAAGAGACTTCCTCGATGCCGTTCAGTCACGTCGTCGGGTGACGCGAGTGAAAAATCCCAAGACCACGAAAGCCGAGGCACCCCGGGGTCCCAAGCTGGGAGGCAGCCGGAGTGCTAGAGCTGCGATGCGGGAAATGCAAGAGAAGCAAGGGCGTAAATAAATGCCCATGACAACCTATCCGCCCTACTCATTTGAATTTCGGGTAGCCTTATTCTTATTGCGATATCTTCTCGCCTGTAGCGCCAGCTTACACCCTGGATATATTCCAGCGTGATTGATATTTCTGAACGAAATCAAATAGGTGGATCTCCTTGTGTCTCACTCGAGCAGAAACATCGCCATTTTTATCTTTGTTTGGCGTATTTCTTATTCTATGGATACAAATAGGCGTATGGAGTTGTTGAATTACCGCCATTGCTCTGTATCTCTGCCATGACAGCCACCGTCGGGACGGAAACCTTTCGGTTACCTATCGACGACAATGTCCCATGTTCCAAATTAAGCGATGTGGATACCTGACGTCAGCAACATTTGAAAGCTGGTGCCACCTTTCATTTAGCTATTCCCGTGCAGGAAGCTTGCTAGGGTCGTCGGAGTGGGCGACGACTGTTTCTTCTGTCTCTGAATCGAAAACCCGACGTGTGCAACAGTACTATAGATCTTGCTTGAATGGGTGAGCTGTATACGCTATAATTTTTTTCTACATGGTTTTTTCCCCCTCACTTTCTGGCATTGTTGCAATGGTAGGACAATGCGAGTTGGCGTTGGGCCAGCACCATGAATTGACTGTGGAAGGAGTTTAATATACCTACATAGGTGCTCCCCATCAAATATATACCTTGCGGGAGGATGGAACAGCCGCATTACACCAAATTCACTTGGTTAATGTGCGATGACTGTCCATCAAGTACTTGGACCTAATAGAGGTGGGGTTGAACCCTGAAACCAGACTCTTATCTCTAGATCAATGAGCAAGTGACAGTTAGTGCCTAGGAAATTTGTTCTTGTGGGATCTTCTATGATCCCTATATTCAATGATAGATTGCGGCTACTACCACCTTCATCACTAGTTTTGTAGTACTGGTAGCGAACTTGGTCGACACTACATCAAACATTTACAGTAAGATTCAGCACTACACTACGTAGTTTTTTGGCCCGTGTTCTTATAGCCTCGTATGTTGTGTGAAATTCACAGGGCTGGAGGAGGGTGCGGGTAACGCACAAGAAATGAAATAGGGACCGGTTAAAGAAAGCAGAAAAAAACTCAACGGAAAACAATGTCCAGTATGTTAGGTTATAGGTGAGAATATTTGGAAATTATCTTCTAGGATTCTATAAGGGCAGGAAAGAGCCTCACCTGGCTTGGTATTCTTGTACATACATATCTTGGCAAGCTAGCATTGAGCTCCGCGATATACATTTCAATACGGAGCATGAGCTGTCTATAACTACTAGTAGTACCCCCTAGTGGGGTTTGCAGTACAAGCCAGTACTTACAGAGTAGTACTCCGTAGCACGCATCCATATGGAGTGCCTAATCTGGCACATGCTAGCCTACCGACGCAGATTGATTGCTTGGTGTTCCAGGCTCCAGCCCTTTTTTTCCCCACTTAATCTATTCGGCATCCCCTTCTAATTTATTTCTGAAAGAGAAGGGAATGGTAATGATGAGTAAATAAACCTTGGAACTACGTCTATGACGATGATCATATCCATATACTCTGTACAGAGGTGTGTTCCTAAAGTAATCAAACTACGCTAGTCATATTGGCCTCAGGTGGAAGTAATGCCTTTACTATACAGTTAACTAATACATGACCTGGAACCAATGGAAAAGACCCCTACTTTTTGAAGAGACACTCAATTGGTCAGTAATTACATGACAAAAAAAAGTGATGTCTATTGGCTCTAGGTCACGTGTTATTTCACTGTATAGTAAAGGCTTATTTCTGCCTGAGGCCAATATTACTAGCGTAGTTTGATTACTTTAGGAACACATCTCCGTAGTAGAGTGTGGATTAAGAGAAGCAGCAGCATTCCAGACTCTTGCTATATTTGTACTCTTTTATATATCAGAGAGAAAAGACAAAGAAAACGAAGAACTTACGGAGTACAGAGGACAAGAGTACAAAGTAATATAGTTAGCCACGTAATCGGTAAGCACCCTGTGTATGTAAGTACCCTGAGCGGCTCCATATGCTATACAAATAGGCCCTTTTTACTACTTGAATATCTCAGTAACTGTGAATATTAAAAGAAATATTATTAATCTAAGCTTCTCTACTTTAAATATTAAAGATTAAGTACTATTATATACTTCTTTTTAAATTTTCTATTATTATAATTTGTAATTACTGAGATATTCAAGCGATAAAAGGAGCCTATTTATATAGAATATAGAGCTGCGCAGGGTACTTGTAACTATGTGCAGAGTGCTTAGTTACCGATTATGTTAACTAACGTATCCGGTAAGCCGCTCGGCCTTGTAAGCCGCTCGGCCACCTCTGTATCCTATATAAAATAGCATATTTTCAAATATCAATATCTCAACGAATTTATATTCTATCTATTTACTTATCTGACACAGTATTAGTATAGATATTCTTTATATAAATCTCAAATATCAAGAGAACTGAAGTTCTGTAAATATAAATTACAGCTATATTCAATAAATACTAAAAAATACACAGTAATATATATTACCCTGGTAATAAAAGACTTTTAGAGCTCTAAAATATAGAAGCTTACTAGTATAGTATATAATAGACTATAAATAAAATTATTGATAGATAGAATAGAAGTTTGTTGAGATATTGGTGTTTGAAAATATGCTATTTTATATGGGATACAGAGGTGGCCGAGCGGCTTACAAGGCCGAGCGGCTTACCGGATACGTTAGTTATTAATGTAACTGGTAAGCAATCCGGTAGACCCTGTATTCTATATAAAATAGTATATTTTTAAATGCCAATATCTCAACAAGTTTATCCTTTATCTATTTATAATTTTATTTATATTCAATTATTTACTATAATAATTATCTATTAAATTTATAAGTTCTAATATTCTTTTATTACTAGAATAATATAAATTACTGTATGTTTTATAGTATATAGCTATAATTTATATTTCTAGACTTTATTTTTATAGATACTTAATATATATATAAAATATATCAATACTAATACTGTATCAAATTATAAAATATAGAGTATAAATTTATTAAGATATTGATATTTAAAAATATACTATTTTATATGGAATACAGGGTCTACCGGGTTGCTTACCGGTTACGTTAGTTATTAACATCGGCTAGTAGCTGTAACTGTGGCGTAGCCTGGCAAATCTCCTGTGGCGGGTTCTTAGTGGGGCAATTCAGCCCAGTGTTTGTGTGTGGTTTCTGTAGTTTTTTTTTCCATCTTTTTCTTCCGTCTTTTTCTTCTAGTCTTCCATCACTCCTATCTATCTACTTACATCTAATCTTCCTTTTCTCTCTCTCCCCCTTTTCTGTTTTAATGTCTGTGAATGAAAACTCCATTGATGTGCAGCAAATACATAGTGATAGATGATAAATTATGGAAGAAAGTGAAATTCTAAGTTATTGGAAAGTATCCATAAATGGATCATACAAATACGAAAGGGAAAAAAAAGGAAAAGTCTGGATGAGCACGGAGTACGCTATTTGACATACGGTAGTGGTACTACGTAAAGAAATTACCTTTATTTACCTTGGTAAGAAGTACTGTGATGCCAGCATATCAGTGGCCCCATAAAGAGGTCTAGAGTCTAAACGGCTCCAGACGGCGCCATTCTTGGGCCGTTCCTGAGCCGGGCACTGGGCCAATCAATGGCTGTGGTGGGCCAAATCTTGAGACAATTCAGGGGCAAGGTGTCGGAGTCTCGAACCCTAACGAAGAACTAACCACTTGACACTGTCTTGTTGATTATTATTAGGCATTCTCGGTAAGGTAACGGGTATTACTTTTTACTAGTTAGTTCTGGTACCAGCTATTCGGTAGGGAGATTGGCCCGCACTGTGCGTATGCCTGTACTGGACTGATCCAGCCAGACGCCCTGAAGACGATGGCTTCTCTTCTATCACTGATCGACTGATTGGTGTGCGCATCCTTCCACTCTCATTCTCCATCATCACTCGTTTGGCATACAAGCCGTGTTTTTGATTTTGCGCTGCTTCTTGTGTCTCTCTGTCTGGTTTGCCTCTTTTCACTTCACACGCTCCCTTGCGACTCCTTTCTTTCCCGGATCCACCCGAGAGCTGCTATTGTTTCTTTCGACTCACTCTTTCCTTTACTCTCTCCCCTCATAGTCAATACAGCTCTTCCCTTCACCTGCCGTGTTCCTTGAGGCCGAGGAAAGGTGAGCTACAAGAGACGGAGTGAGCGAGTGGATAGAGTCCTAACGCTTTCCTTGTGTATGCCTCTCTTTTGGAAGCCTCTCAACTTTTCTTGCTGAACCTTCCCCTCCCCAATCCTTCTCCCTATCCTTTGATCCTCTTTCTTTTCGCGTTGTGATTGCTCTCATTAAAATAGTTCTACATACGATTGTTTCTATTCTACACAGGTTGACCCTGTGGCATTTCTGATTCTCGGCCGGCCCGGTTGCTATCAGTTCGATTACTTGGAGTTTGCCCCAACTTTAATCAGTTTAACCGCCTTGAAAATTCGTCTCGATTGTCTATCGAGCCGAACTTTGGGATTGGGATTCCCTGCTTGTGAGAAACTGACGCCTGAACAACACGTTTGATGTTGGCACTGTGAACTTGAGTATCGGAAAGACTGTTCTTGCCGCAATGCGGGTTTCTATATCAGAGCTCACCTTAATTGCCTTGGGCCTGTGTTCCGTGCACGTTCTCGCAGCGGATACGCTTAGCACAAATGGCATCTCAACCTGTCTGACGGGTGCAGAAATACAGGTTCAAAAGTTAGACGTTACTTATACACGTTCCACTAGAGTGGTAGTCTTCGATGTTGCCGGAAAAAACGAAAAAAAGCAGAACGTTACCGCATCTCTGTCGGTTTATGCTTACGGCAATGAAATATATAGCAAGTCATTCGACCCTTGTGGCTCGGAGAATTATGTCGAGGAACTTTGTCCTGGTAAGTTTTATTAGCATGGAAACTCTCCTGCCTATAATACTGACTTGTTTCTTTTCAACGAAGTCCCTTCCGGCGTCTTTCAAGCGACTGGTTCGCAACAAATTCCGGAGTCGTTTGCCAGCCAGATTCCCGCGATCGCCTTTGCTATACCCGACTTGGATGGGCAAGTGAAACTTGAGCTGAAATCCAAGGATGATGTCCACAAAGTTGCTTGCATTGAAACGCAGTTATCGAACGGAAAGTCGGCACAAATGCCAAGCGTAACTTATGCAGCCGCCGGTGTAGCAGGTGCTGCTCTAGCAATGAGCGGTCTGTCTATCATAGGCGCTGCCGGCCATCCTGGGGCTGTCTCATCTAGTCCGGGGTTTGGTGATGTCATGGGATGGTTCCATAGCATGGCAACGAACGGCATGCTCAGTGTCAGCTACCCAGCAGTGTATCGCAGTTTCACGAAGAATTTTGCCTTCAGCACCGGCTTAATTCCATGGGGTCAAATGCAGCAGTCTATCGATAACTTCCGCAAGTCGACCGGCGGAAACCTCACGGAGAACAGCTATGACTTTCTCCGCAATGCTACGCTCGAGTTCTCAAATAGCTCGTCGACAGACACAAATTCTAAGGTCAAGCGAGGGTTCAATTTGATTGTAGCGCTGCCGACTTGACTATACGTGATGTTTCAACTTCGTATAGTGCGAATTCAACATCTGGTGATGATGCCAGTGATGATACAGTCAAAAAGGTTGTCTCTGGTATAGAGGCTTGGGCAGAACAGCTTACCATCCCTCAAGCGAATATATTCATGACGTGTCTGCTGATATTTGCTATTGTTATAGCTGCTATTACGGTGGGCATTTTACTGCTCAAAGTTATCCTCGAGTTATGGGCCTTGTATGGATCCTTCCCTGCGAAGCTCACGAATTTTCGCAAGGATTACTGGGGTTTGCTGGCCAGGACTATTACTAACCTGATTCTTCTCCTCTATGGGATTTGGGTTTTGTATTGCGTCTACCAGCTTACCGGCGGAGATTCGTGGGCCGCGAAAGTATTGGCTGTTGTCACGCTTGTCATATTTACCGGTGTCTTGCTTTTTTTTGGCCTCCGAATCTGGTATGTGGCTCGTAAATATAAAGCATCCCAAGGTGATGCCTCCGGCTTGTACGAGGATACAGAGACTTGGCGAAAGTACAGTCTTTTTTACGACAACTACAAAAAGGATTACTGGTGGCTCTTTGTCCCCGCGATCGTGTACATGTTTGTTAAGGGTGTAATCATCGCTGCGGGCAACGGTCATGGCCTTGTTCAGTCCGCGGGTCAACTCATTGTTGAAGCTCTCATGCTGGCACTTTTGCTATGGTACCGGCCATATGTTGCAAAGTCGAGCCAGTGGATCAATATCAGCATCCAGATTGTCCGTGTATTATCCGTTGCTTGCGTGTTGATCTTTGTTGAAGAACTTGGTCTTTCACAGACTACCAAGACTGTGACGGGTATTGTCCTTATCGTCGTGCAATCCGCCCTCACAGGCATCTTGGCCATCCTCATTGCCGCTAACGCCATCATCCTCTGTGTCCGAGAAAACCCCCATGCGAAACGGAGAAGGGAAGCCAGTAAGTTGAAGGAGTTTCTTGGACCATTTGATATGCTAACAATCGGCGTTCTACTTAGAAAAAATGAACCGTGATATGGACGATTTGACACCTTTGGATGCGCGGGAGTCGCTTCTCATGGAGAATCCACCCCGAAAAGAGTACACAGAGATGAGCAAGTTTAACTTCACCGGCCCTTATGAGCCCTACCGGGACCACTACGATCCGAAGTCACGATCAAGTTCTACAGGAAGCACGGACCGTTTAGTGGATCCTCCTGGTTATCATGAAAGTCAACATGGTCGAAGTCTCAGTCGAGAAAGCCGGCATACCCGCGATAGTCGTGGTTCCCCAGATGGACGTAAACCTACCGCTCCTGGTTATGGCTTCGCCTATTGAGCCATTAGATCATGGAAACAATTCATGATACACTGCCTTCTGTAATTTTTTTTATTCTATCTTAACCCATTTTCTCTTACCCACCCTCTGTTTCCCTGTGTGCATAGAAGCCTATTCTTGCCAGACAATTCGATCAATTTAGCGTATTTGATGTTACTCCTTTCTTTACTTTATGTACCATGTTTTGCCCTCCCACCCCATGTTTCGCATATATATGCTTGAATCCGTGTCCATATCAGCCTCAGATTCTGTCACAGCCAACAATAATTGCACATTACTCTTCCTTATATGACAATGACCAAATAACATCATGTTAAAAATGATCATCTTTCTGGTGATCCTCTATGGGTAAAATAGCTGGGCCTGCTTATATTCGTACACAAACAGAAGGTTTAATGGTGAGCACCAAAGGGAAGAGATATCCTGCATGGAGTAGCTGGCACCCTTCCAACTGTACCAATAGTTCATTATAGGGAGGTGAACTTGATGGTAGTTCCGGTAACAAGTTGAGTCGTAAAGTATCATAAGTTTTTAAACCATAGCCTCCCCTTCTATGCTATTATTTTCCATTTCTGTTTATAATCCCGAGTGCACATTGGCTGTTCACTAATCCTCCATTTCTCGATATTAACTGACAGCGACGGCCGTACGTTTGTTATTTTACTTGCTTTTCTTTCTATCCTTTCGCCCTCTCCCTCCCTCTTTTCTTTTATCCGGGGAAGGAATAAGCAGGTAGTCGGAAGCATTTTTCATGAAGGAGACAAGAGCAGTATCGTTGAATGAGTACATAAGACACATCACCAATTTCGGGAGATCCATAGCTCAACACACGGTATCATGGTCCGCCGCCACTTACAAAAGCAAAAATTTGAAAAGAAGATTAGGTAACTGGGAAGTTGCTGCCGGATGGACCCCAAAGAGGGAGGTCAGAATGGCAACATCCGAGTAGAAGAAACGCATCAAATCAACCACGAGAATAAGGATGAAAGCCACGATGGCCGCCGCGACCTCCACCTCGGTAATTTGCTCCAGGTTTCCCAGCATTCTTGGGCCCAGTTGGAGCGTTGGCTGGTGCGGCACTCTGAGGCTGAGGCGTCGGTCCTGAAACGGAGTTAGCAGTCAGATAATACAGATTATTCCTTAACAAGCAGACGATTAAAATTCTACCAAATACATACCACGTCCCATACTGCCAGCTCGGTTCATGGCTTGCGGTCCCGTGGGGATGTTGGGCTGGGGCACTTCATCGTACATACCTTCCCAGGAAGTTGGACCGCCCTGTTGATAGGGAGAGAACGCCCGGTTTTCCATGGCCCGACGAGCCTGCTGCTGTTCATACTTCTGTTGTTCAAAGGCAATCTGCTCATGAGCGTTGTAGCCTGGGCCTCCACGAGGTCCTGAATAATTTCCACTCATGTTCACGTTTCCAGGACTACTGCCCCCTATGTTCATAGCATTCCCCATCTGTCCTCCTTGACCTTGGTTTTGCATCTGCTGCATCTGCTGCATAAGGGTAGGATTCATCATATTCTGCATTTGAGGGGTCTGACTCTGCGATGGAGGACTCATGCTTCCCTGTTGTTGATTATTGCTCATTTGCATCTGTTGCATCTGCTTCATCTGCATCTGTTGCATCATAGCCGGGTTCATTCCACCCATGCCCATTGCGCCGATGCCTTGGCCCTGAGCGGCAACGGCCATCTGTTGCTGCATTAAAGCAAAATACTGCTGCATCCGTTGCCAATACTGCGCCATCATTTGTGGAGTCAAGCCACCAGGCATGCCAGCCGGCCCTTGAGAGCCTTGTTGCTGAGAACCATCGCTGCCAATTTGACTTCCCTCGCGGAAACCGTCTCTGCCACGGCGGTTCCTACGATCCTCTTCGTCCCGCAGATTACCACGCGGTTGAGCCTTCTTAACCTCAATAGGCTTACCGAGAATCTCTAAAGGACGCGAGAGTGCTGCTTCAACAGCAGCCTCACTGTCAAATGTCACAAAGCCAAAGCCGCGAGGCCGACCAGTGTCCTTGTCGATCATCAAAGTAGCATCGATCACACGACCAAATTGCATGAAAAATTGTTTGAAGTCTTGTTCATTAGCTTCTTGGCTAACGCCACCAACGAAGATTTTGCTTGTCTTTTCTTGTTCGTCACGAGGGATTGCACGCTTCGGATCGATCTTCAAGCATGTAAGCTTGTGCTTTGCTTCAAGAATTTGAGGATGCATGACTCACAATTTTTCCATCCAAGTAATGCTCCTTGACCATGACAGTATTGACGGTCTTAGGGTCTCTAAAAGTTAAGAAACCAAAGCCTCTAGAGCGACCTGTAGCACTGTCTCGCATCACGGTGCATTCCTGTACCTCTCCGAACTGAGAAAAGTAGTCCTTTAGGGATTCTAATTACCAAGTTAGATTGTTGACAGCTGTGCAGGATGACTCTCAACGGATCTTGGAGGTACATACGGTCAGTTGTTTCCCAGTTGAGACCGCCAATAAACATCTTCCTATTAAACGCAGGTAATATTAGTATGTCTGCCTCAGTCTCGGTTACTAACAGTAAAACAAGATAGATAAAAAAAATAGACATAGGAAATGAGAGAGGAACAATTAAATAAACAAGAAGAAAAAGGCAAGTAAGGCTTCAATCTTGGCTGTGGCAGGCTGACTCTGTGTCCTCTGAGAACCAGGACAGCATGGTTGACGGACTATTGCGATGTAAAAGCTTATGAACTGAGAATCGATACCATATTGACAGGCACTAATTTGACTTGAGAAACGGATGAAACCATAGCAAGCAATGCGTAGGGGAGCTTTTTTTTTTTCTTTGTTCTTTCTTTTTTTCATGGTCGCTTCAGGATGGTTCGCCAGTGATGTGCACATACACTGACGGAGCAGCGACTAGCTGGAAGGCTCATGGGGACAATCAACCTCTAGTCAATAATCCACTGGTTTACTAAACGATCCAGTGGACTGAAGGTCAAACGTAAGACAATCCCTCAGGTCTGGGAGGTATGCGGTGGTGATAGCAAAGACCATAAGTTGAAGCATCTCAGGCGGAATAAGTCAATTGTTTCTCTTTCTCTCTTGTTCTTTCTTTTGGCCAAGGAATCTCTGCCTGTCTAATAGTCCGAAGCTAGGTAAACTGTTCGCAACCACAAAGCCAAGGCACCTACTCTTGTTCTGTTCCTCTGCACTATCAAGATATCTCGACAAGAAGCTATATAGTATCGGCTGTACTATAGTCGCTCGCGACAATGGCTCGTAGAGACAGGGGTTCGAAGTTTGTCTTTCCGCAATTGCCACCTCGACGTTGTGCCGTTGATATGTACTCCCATTTTGTCCCTCAAGACGCCAGAGGTAGAATTTGTCCCCACCAGATTGCTCTCCACAGCTAAGTCTGACGAGGGTCTAAAGACTCTCTATCGAAGATTGGCCATATCCTTGTTTTCTATAGCAAGTATGTTTGGGTTTCCATTGGAGAAAGACCTGGACCCAGGTCGAAGAATTTCATCACTTTCTCCAGTGTACCAAGCAGCCACATGTATAGAAGCCTTCCCACGAACTCGCGATATCAGCATAGCCACCATCGCCTTCACCAGCTCACTGGAGCTCATCCTTATACAGAGCGGTAAAGTGATAAATAAGAAAAGGGCATTGTGAGCCTTCCAATATCATCGGTTCCAAATGGCCAGTAAAAAACCAAAGGGAAAGTAGGGTGGCCAAGCCAATTTGAGTGTGCGTTCCAATCCCAACAAGCATATAAAAACTTCAAAACATCCCTAGCAAAAGAAGCTATTACTTACCCATCTTCTTTGATCCCGGTTCCGTGATGCTCTGTTTCCCCCGACATAGGAGTGATATTATTGGCGAATCCAGAATCTAAATTGCCTGTGCCATGTTGGTGAGCTCCATCCTGTAGGAGCTGTTGGTGTACACCGCGAATGTCTTCCGTTTCAATATGAGAGGCTTCGGAGGCATGTGTTGCAGCAAGACCAGCCGACTGAGTCGGGAGGACCGAAGCTATAGGCTCCGAGGCAGCTGGGGCATCAACGGTTGAAGTTGGTTGGTGCGCGGTCTCATCCACATCATACCTGTAAAGCCATTAGACTGGTTCTTGTGAGATAAACTCCGGCAAAGTGAAGCGCCATACAGATCTGCAAACAGGTCTTCTTCAACATCCTCTGGCTCGGTCATGGTGAGTCAATACTAAAAAGCAACGTAAGCGAAGGGCCGAGTGGCTGGACTAGAATGAAGTCGATTGAACCAGTTCGATTGGGGACAGAAGAATCCAGCAACCTAAGTTCAGTGGTGACGAGGCGAGATTCCTTCTCACAAAATAATTAGCCAATAGAAATGAGGACAGTAATCATAAAGTGAATTGAGAAGTTTAAAAGAAGAGGAGCGAGAGGTATATGACAGCAGAGTGGAAGAAAGGAACAGGTGTGTGGTTTACGTTGGAGGTTAGCATGAGAGTGAAAGAGACTCAGAGAGGAGTTAGTCAGTTTAAGTTAGCCGCTGACCACGCGAACCTGAGATCCGTAATAAATTTCATTTCATTTACCTACTAGGTATTATATTCTTCCCCATACATACACATACATGGTCAAGAACACAGTACTACTAGTTTCTTGTCTCCAATATGCTAAAGGTCCTAGCCCTGGGCAACTTATCATAACACTTTAACTCGGTTTTTGTTCAATTCTTTACCAACAATCTTTTTTTTTACTTAAGAAGAGAAGGAAGATATTATATATATAGTACTAGTTACCCTAACAATAGATACAAAGAATAAGTCAAATATCTAGCTACTCTGTACCATCACAATTTGTTATTTCGTCTTGGCTCGACTAGTCTACTACTTACAGCATCATGGTGCCGTAAAGCACCCCGCAACTTTCTGACCTCTGTCTTCTTTCCTCCCCCTTCTTACTTTACCTTCCCCCTCCGCACACGAGTGGCGTTACGCAATGGCTACTAGAAAGTCCCAACCGCAGGTAAGTGTGTCTAGAAATACTCCTCAAACCAATGCGACAAAGAGCTAATCCGAACTACTTGTCCTTTGGTATAGGAGATGGTCCAGGTTGGTTCGTACCTCATAGCCCCATGTTTCACCTCGTTCTAGCAGCTGATATAGCTCCCCGCTTTCCACTTATTAGACCGTTCTGAGTATGTGTAACCCTACTGGCGCGAGCTATCTCTGTCTAATTAGCCACGCACTTTACTGTGTCTCTCTCCTTCTCCCCATTTCTTGCTAATCCCTTTTCGAAGGAGAACGGGTTCTCCCTTTTGGAAGGGAAGATCAATTTCCCAGAACCACAGGCTCCCCAAACCCAATGATCAAATTGCCGTTGTTGGCTCTTCATATTCCCATGCAAATATCTTGAAGTGAGCTTTCGTTCGCCCATGTTTCATAATTCTTAGCGGCTCCTCAAGATACATTGAATAACTTAGTGCGTCTAGCAGAGGTATATCGCAACAGCATGCGCCCCCGCGGACACCGCCCCGATCATCGTCTACCAATCCTCAAAAATTCTCGCCATCCTCCCATCAGCCTGCATCATGGTCTGCCTCTTCTCGTAGATCGTACACCGGTATAATGAACCAAGGAGTCGATTCATGGGGTCGCGATAAAATAGAAGACGAAGAAGAAGAGGAGGAGGAGGAGGAGGAGGGGGAGGCGGAGGAGGAGGACATTGTCTATGATGATGATGAGGACGAGTTTGGACTTCCTAGCATTACTAGCATGCGAAAGAAGCAGAAACAGAATGTCGACCCTCTTCCATCTAGGAGCGTTGACCCAGGCGGTCGAATTGGGGGCAGTGCCTCGGCCCTTAGTGTTGGTCTAGGGAACAGTAGACAACGTGCCAATAGCTCGGATATTGCGGAGGAACGAGGTGTTCCTATGTACCCAACAGCTAGAGAGGGGGAAGGGAAGATACTTCGGCCTCAGTATAAAGACGTTCTAAGAGGTAACGGATGCGATTTTAGCTACCGAAGTTTGCAGGTGGCTAATCCTCACTAGATCCTGCAAACGCTTTGAATCTTATCAACCATGCTCCACCCCCCAAGAGTGCAACTCCAAAAGAAATGGACCAATACACGAGCCGCATTTCGAGAATCAACAAGTTCAAACGCCTTTTGCAAACAAGCACGGTTCCTTTAGCAGAACTAAGAAACTTGGCATGGTCAGGAGTTCCCGGTGAGGTACGGGCGATGACCTGGCAACTTCTCCTGGGCTATCTCCCAACGAATTGTGAACGACGTATTTCGACCCTCGAAAGGAAACGTAAGGAGTATTTAGATGGCGTTCGCCAGGCTTTCGAGCGCAGTAGCGCCGCAGGTGCTGGAAAACCTCCTACTTCGACAACAGGGCGTGGCAGAGGGCTGGACGAGGCAATATGGCATCAAATCAGTATAGATGTCCCTCGCACTTGCCCACATATTCAGCTCTACGGCTATGAGGCTACTCAGCGTTCACTAGAAAGGATTCTTTATGTATGGGCCATCCGACACCCAGCCAGCGGCTATGTGCAAGGGATCAATGATCTCGCTACGCCATTTTGGCAAGTTTTCCTAGGTGTCTACGTTACGGACCTTAATGTCGAAGAAGGGATGGACCCGGGTCAATTGCCCAAGAGTGTGCTGGATGCCGTCGAAGCGGATACATTCTGGTGTCTTACGAAGCTCCTTGACGGCATTCAGGATAATTATATATATGCTCAGCCTGGTATACACCGGCAAGTTAGAGCATTACGCGACTTAACCATGCGCATTGATGCTACCCTCGCCAAACATTTGGAGAAAGAAGGTGTTGAATTTATGCAATTTAGTTTCCGATGGATGAACTGCTTGCTCATGCGCGAAATGAGCGTCCAGAACACCATACGCATGTGGGACACGTACATGGTTCGTTACCCTAATTTTGCATATAGGTGAAGCGTGCTAATCTTGTATTCAAGGCGGAGGAGCAGGGCTTTTCACGATTTCACATTTACGTGTGTGCGGCCTTTCTAGTCAAATGGTCGGACCAGTTGGTGAAGATGGATTTCCAGGTAAGACCGTTGACTGAGAAGAATCATGATACAGAAGCTAGTGCTGAATGAGAATAGGAAGTCATGATGTTTTTGCAGGCCCTCCCAACCAAAGACTGGACGGAGCAAGATATTGAACTCCTGTTGAGCGAAGCATTCATTTGGCAAAGCCTGTTTCAAGACTCTCGGGCCCATCTTCGTTCCACTGGTGACCCACCCCCTGATAATGGATTGCAGTGACGAAGTCGAGTTCTAATGAGCATGCTCCAAGCCCCTAGCTTGTGGCAAAGAAAGCCGGTCCAGGTTCTTTCCCCTTGGGCATAAATGCAAAGTAAACAGGAAAGCCCTTGTAGTGGAAAACCCACGACAACTTCTAAAAGAGGCCCTGTTGCAAATGCTCGTACGTTCCTCTGCTAAGCCCGTAAAAGCCTGTCGACATCTACTGCTTCCGGATTCACGCATCTCAATCTTTTGTATGCGCGCGTGCTAAAGAGGAGGAGGAAGAAGAAGACGAAGAAGAAGGGGGGGAAATAAGGTAAAAAGAGGGAAAGAAAGCGCTTTTCCCCTTTTTATCAAGATCGGTGGTCTTGTCGACTCCGCTTTATCACCTTCCCCGTGGCGCGCATGTTCGTTGTGTCCATCTCCTGATCTGCAGAGGGCCCAGCCTAGAGCTGGGTGTTAGTTCTCATGCTCTATATCATGCCCTGCCATTAGTCTCTACTAGATCTACCACTTAGGAATTCCGGAAAGGCTATGGTGGGTTCGTTTAGCTCTTCGCTTACACCAATTGTTCGGAGGGCTAGCTCTGGGTCATAGTTGATTGCCAACGATGTAGGTCTGGGAACAAGATGGAACAACGTTGGGGTTGACTGGGAGAGGGGGCCACTCGAGGATTCTCATGCGTGCCGTCAGCAGGTGATCTACCCTGACTCCTACTCGCAAATTGAAGGCGTCTACTCTAGCTTGCCAACAGGCTTTGTGATGGGAAAAAGCCGTGGTGCGACAGAGTGGGCAATGCGATGGTTAGTTCATAGGGTTGCTAAGGTGGCGAAATGTTGACATATGAGATTTTATCAGTGCAGCTAAGCAATTAGGCGCGCAAAGGAAGTACTGTTTAGACATAGGACGTGCTAGGTGTATGAAACATGGCTAATATAAATGTCGACCTATCAGAAGAGTGAACCTGGAGCTTTCCAGGAACATGGTGCGTGGTGTTCTGTTCCTACTCTGTGAATTCCACAGGTGTTCGAGAATTCATACAATAGTACGGAGTACGAGTAGTAGCAGCTCTTAGGGCTCATATATGAAGCGCTGGACAATGAATGGTAGAGGGTGTCTAACTACTTTTGGCTGGATAACTCTGATAAGATATAAATACGGGAGCGGGATAATGTTCTTGCGCTCATTCGCTCTTTGAAGCATGAAACAACTTCCTGCTGCCTCGGAATTTTGGTACACTTAAGCTTACTTAAAAGTCGCCCAGTCTTGCACCGTATCTCCGGTCAAGATGGCCTCTGGGCGGAAGGACTTTTTGAGCCAGCCGGCCCCCGAAAACTATGTTGCAGGTCTAGGTAGAGGTGCAACTGGCTTCACTACTCGTTCGGACCTGGGGCCTGCGCGTGAAGGTCCCACGCCAGAACAGATTCAAGCAGCGCTCGCAAAGAGGGCGCAACTGCTTGGTGCAGCCCCTCCGACAGCATATGGTGCGGGACGTGAGAAAGGTGGTAAAGAAGACAAGGCTGAGGAAGAGGATGATGATGAGCGTTTTCAGGATCCGGACAATGAAGTTGGGCTTTTCGCATACGGACAGTTCGATCAAGAAGATGATGAAGCAGACCGCATATACAGAGAAGTAGATGAGAGGATGGACAAGCGCCGGAAAGCAAGAAGGTTGGTACTCCCTTCCCCGCACTCTTCCCGTTCGCCTCTTTGATGGTGCGATTTGTTCATCGGGTTCACCCCCGGTTGTCTGAATAGAAAACCGACTTGATTCCTTCGCCAATTATAGGGAAACCCGGGAACGTCAAGAGCGAGAAGACTACGAACGGAAAAACCCGAAAATTCAACAACAATTCGCCGATTTAAAACGTTCATTAGCTTCCGTCTCCGAAGACGATTGGGCCAACCTTCCTGAAGTTGGAGATCTTACAGGAAAGAATAGACGGGCCAAACAGAACCTCCGGCAACGATTTTACGCAGTACCGGATAGTGTTCTTGCCAGTGCTAGAGACTCCACCCAATTCGAGACCACTGTTACAGATGACGGCGCTCATACCGACACTCGGGGGGAAGGAGTGGACGGGACAATAACAAATTTTGCGGATATCAGTGCTGCTCGCGATAAGGCCCTTAAAGTCAAGCTTGACCAAGCAGCTATAAGTTCATCCGGGGATTCGGCTTCTGGAAGTGCCACTAGTATTGACCCAAAGGGTTATCTCACGAGTCTCACGCAGTCCGAGCTAAAAGCCGGCGAAGTGGAGATAGGCGATATCAAACGGGTTCGCGTTTTGCTAGAGTCTGTGACGAGGACTAATCCAAAGCACGCGCCTGGGTGGATTGCACTTGCTCGTCTGGAGGAACTTGCTGGTAGAATTGTGGCTGCTAGAAACTGCATTGCCAAGGGATGTGAGCTGTGCCCGAAGAGTGAAGATGCATGGCTTGAGAATATTCGGCTCAATGAAGGTCACAATGCGAAGGTAATTGCTGCAAATGCCATCCAGAACAATGATCGCTCCACAAGACTCTGGATTGAAGCTATGAGGTTGGAGTCTGAGCCTCGTGCAAAGAAAAACGTTTTGAGACAGGCCATTCTCCACATTCCTCAGTCAGTCGTCATTTGGAAAGAAGCTGTCAATTTGGAAGAGGACCCTGTAGATGCGCGCCTCCTTCTCGCAAAGGCGGTTGAAATGATACCGCTGTCTGTGGAGCTATGGCTTGCCCTTGCCCGCCTCGAAACACCCGAGAACGCCCAAAAGGTCTTAAACGCTGCTAGGAAAGCTGTCCCTACGAGTTATGAGATATGGATTGCTGCTTCACGACTGCAGGAGCAAATGGGAACTTTCAATAAGGTGAATGTGATGAAGAGAGCTGTACAGTCCCTCGCCAGAGAGAATGCTATGCTTAAGAGAGAGGAGTGGATAGCAGAAGCTGAGAGCTGTGAAGAGGAGGGAGCGATTCTCACTTGCGGGGCGATTATCCGCGAGACTTTAGGATGGGGCCTGGATGAAGACGATGATAGGAAAGATATCTGGATGGATGATGCAAAAGCCAGTATTGCCAGGGGAAAGTACGAGACTGCCAGAGCCATCTATGCCTATGCGTTGCGTGTGTTTGTCAACCGCAGGTCTATTTGGCTTGCAGCGGCAGACCTTGAGCGTAATCATGGTACGAAAGAAGCGTTATGGCAAGTACTCGAGAAAGCTGTGGAAGCTTGCCCACAGAGTGAAGAGCTATGGTTGCTCCTTGCGAAAGAGAAATGGCAAACTGGAGAAATTGACGAGGCCAGACGAGTGCTGGGTCGTGCCTTTAACCAGAATCCCAATAACGAGGATATTTGGCTTGCTGCTGTTAAGCTCGAGGCCGACGCCCGGCAAACAGATCAGGCTAGAGAGCTCCTTGCGACTGCTCGTCGGGAAGCCGGAACAGACCGTGTTTGGGTGAAAAGTGTCGCCTTTGAGCGGCAACTGGGTAATGCAGACGAGGCGCTAGACTTAGTAAATCAGGGCCTTCAACTATACCCGAAGGCAGACAAGCTTTGGATGATGAAGGGTCAAATCTATGAATCCCAGAATAAGTACCCGCAAGCCCGAGAAGCGTATGGAACAGGTACTCGTGCGTGTTCTAGATCGGTTCCCTTGTGGCTGCTGGCCTCAAGACTGGAAGAAAAGGCTGGTGCTGTCGTCAAGGCCCGCTCTGTTCTTGACAGAGCTCGGCTTGCTGTTCCTAAAAGCGCTGAATTATGGACAGAAAGTGTTCGAGTTGAACGGCGTGCAAACAATATGGCCCAAGCCAAGATCTTGATGGCAAAAGCATTGCAGGAAGTGCCAACATCTGGATTGCTATGGAGCGAGAGTATCTGGCATCTTGAACCGCGAGCACAACGGAAGGCTCGCAGTTTGGAGGCTATCAAGAAGGTCGATAATGACCCGATATTATTCATTACAGTGGCGCGGATTTTCTGGGGAGAGCGTCGACTAGAGAAAGCCATGACATGGTTTGAAAAGGCTATTGTGTCTGACAGCGATTTAGGGGACGGCTGGGCTTGGTATTACAAGTTCCTATTGCAGCATGGGACAGAAGAGAAGCGGGCAGATGTGGTATCGAAGTGCGTCTCTACGGAGCCCAAACATGGCGAGGTCTGGCAATCTGTGGCTAAAGATCCTACCAACGCGCACAAGTCGACCGAAGAAACTTTGAAGATCGTCGCCGAGCGACTTTTGTAGGTAATCAACACGCTCGCATAATTATCTTATATTGGCTTGTACGCTATATTCTTGAAGGCTGTAAAATTTTGGAGTTGGAGAGGGAGACGAGAGATTGTACTAGTGAGCTTTAGAAAGGACTAAGAATATAAGTAAATGGATACTGATAGTAAAAATTGGCCTGGCAAGATCGATGCTAATACGTCTGTGGCACTCCGTAATTCATCAAGACAAGAAATATAGCGGTTGGATGAAGCAAGGGGGGAAATAGTATACAGAAACAAGCCAGGAACAGTGTATGCGTAGGATGCCAAATAGCCTTCACGGTTCTCAAAGCATATATAGGTTACAACCGCCGGCCAAATACATGGCAAAGAAAAGGAAAAGAAGGAATAGTGAGCCAAATAGTGGGTATCGAACGAGTTTGCCGCACATTCAGAAACCCTTGTTCTTCTCTTTTCGTTTCTGTGTTTCTGTTATGAATCGTAGACAAGACATCTACCCATAAATTGGACCCTGTGGCCACTCTTTGAAGCACATTTTATGCGCATCGCACTCCAGAACTGCCATGTTCGAGCTCTCGAGGAGGACTTATGAACCCAAGTTCTCAACGCGCCAAGCTGTAAAGGGAAAGAAGCCAAAGGAGACCGAAAAAAAAAAAATAGAAAACGGATCGAACGCTTGAAATCCATGCCAAATAAAAGTAGACAATATCACACCAATGACAAATTCCCCTCATACTCCAAGTACGCCTTTATATCCTACCAGGTCGAAATGCCACTGCTTTGGTCGTGTAGAATCAAAGACTTACCATAAGCCAAGAGGACACAAAAAGAAAGGGGAAATCAAAGAGGAAGAGGATGCTCGGAATTATGATGAAAGTCATGATGGAAAGAAACAATGGAAGAAAGAAGAGGGGGGAAGGATCAAAAGGCCATGGACAAGCACTCGTCCAGTAAAGACCCCAGCTGTTCTCGGTCCGCCATCGTGGCACCTTCCCATACAATCTCCCTATCATAATCAACCTCCATTGTGTCCGTCGAATGATTCAACTTCATACTATCCTTGGGAATCTCCGTCACATCATCGGCTCGGTCTTGCTTGTCTGTTTCAAGCTCATCCTCAAAATAACCACCCATTATTTGATCAACAATCAGTGGCATATGACTGAGAACTCCACCACCGAGCTCTAAAGCCAAACGGAGGTCTCTGACCCCAAGTGGCTTTCTAACACTTGCTTCTTTGGCCTCGACAGGTAGCAAGCCCGTTGCACCATCTTTCACGATCTCCCCGCGTGTGAAGGCCAATTCTTCTCGTTCAAGCTGCTGACGGTATTTGCGCATCATCATACCATTGATGGTACCAGATGGTCCGTTAGACCTTGTACGTGAGAATACGACAGATAAAACTTCCTTCACAAAAGTTTCCGTAGCAATGGCCATGAACTCAGCGCAGGGTAGTCCTGCGCCACTAACAATTGACTCTTCGTAGCATATAGGGATCATGCGAGCATGAATGGACTCCGCATCTGGGAACTCACCGGTCTCTGACGCCAGAGGTTGCGCATAACGTTTTCGAATCTCCAGTTCCCAATCTACCGCCAAGTAGCGTGGTAAGCATCTCTAAATTCATAGGTGAAACATAGAATTTATTACACCTACTTGTTTTATTCAGACCGCCTGCACTTGCCGGTACTTGACTCGGCAACTTTATTTGTTTCGCCAAATTATATTCCTCTAACTCATTAGGTGTAGTTTCAACGGGATCATGCTGAAGAAGACCATTGTTAGAATGGGATGTGCACTTTAATGGTCCTCTACAACTTTGTAACCGTACCTCGGGAATTGCTTTTATTCGTCGACGATCCCTAGGAGGAAGTTGCATGACCTCCGTCTTTAACCTCTGCTCCGCTGCATCCCCTGAGGTCGGCTTCGAGACCACCGATGGTTTGTCGTTCGCCGACACCCAACTTGCAACTCCATGATCCGGAAGGTCCCTTGTGAGGTTCCCAATAATTGCGCATATGAAATTATTATGGAGGTGTTCGGTTTTTTGGTCGGCACAAATTATATGATCGACGCGAGACGAAAGTTCATTCTGGTTCAGTTGTCCTGTGATAGAAAATAGCGATATTAGTTTATCTTCCAGAGAGTAAACATATGTTGAAGCGCAAAAAGAAAAAAAATAATAAAAATAAATAAAATAGGAATAAAAACAATAGAAACCTGCAAAGATTAGGCTGAGTTCCACTACGCATTCATACCTAGAAGGAAGAAAGTAGTGGCCTCCTTGTACTCGGGCCAGCTGTCACCGATAGCGGCTTTCAGTTCCGTATAGATAGGTTCAAGATCCAGTCGCGGAACAGATATCAGCGCTTTTGTAGACTTCGAAGTCGTCGAGGTGCTAGGGGTCGCATTTTTTGAGGGAGTTATTGCGGTCGATGCAGACTCAGTCCGACTCAGAGCGGCCGGATCGATCTGCATGGTTGTGAGGCTCGCAGAAACGCGACGGGCTGCGCGAAGCCGGGGTGGCGGGGAGAACTATGCCTTCATGAAGCAGAATACATGCCAGAGAAGCCCGAAAGACAGTTCTAACTTAGTATAAGGCTAGAGCATGCGATGAACGAGGGGATTGCGATAGGAAGGGCACTGGGTCGATGAGCGAAGTGATGAAAGGAGGTTGAAGTTGATAAAATACTGGGGTTGGGTTTCTTTTCCCCGCCCAAAAAAAAGAGTAACAAAAGTCACTGAATTTTCTCAGTGAATGAAGCAATATAAAGACTTCAAAAAATGACTACTTTGTTTCTGGATGTTTATTGATCTTGTATATTTATAGGTTACTACAGCTTTTTACTTGTGCTTCGTCTTCTGAAGGAACGCAGTCAGTTTGGAGGGGGGAAAAGAGCCTAATCATATAGCTTCACAATATCTTCGTCGAGGACTCCAAACAGCCAGCTGATTTCCGCCATGATTCCCTCAATCTCCGTCGACAATTGGCCAGTTACTAAAACTATAGATGAATTAGTTGATATTGTAGGGCCAGTTCACGCCATACTGTTCAAATAACTTGGGATTCAAAAATACAAATCGCGGTGTAGTCTCTCTCGACTTACTATAAGCATACAATAACGCATAATCCTCGTCTGTAGACAGGCGGGATGCTTCATGGTCCTTGCGATAGTGGAAAAGGCGGGCAAGAAGCCGGTCTCGAGCATGCTCAATGCTGGGAAGGACGTCGCTTAGCGGGTACTCGAGCTTCATAGAAGAAGCCATTACTATACTTGCGGTTAGAATTGCTCTCTCTGATTGATCCCCTACACTCACCTGTCAATAGATGGCTGATGCGCGACGACAATTGTTGTCGTTCCTTGTCGGTATATTGGAGGATACTAAGTTCGCCTTCGGATGATGTCATATTTTTATCAAGCTCAATATTGATTGCAAGAAAAGCGTCCACCATACTCCTTGTGCGGCGGAGAATATTACTGTACGCCAAATCAGGGAATGGGCTTTTCAGCTCAAACTCGGAGCGGGCGGACGCCTGAAGAGTCTCCAAGCGCGAAAGGAATCGTTCAATCTCCAGTTTCTCCCTTGGGCTCATGAAAACCGAATTATCTGTATTGCTGGTCATGGTAGACAATGGGCCGCGTTTCCAGAGCAGACTCATTCGAAGCCATAGAAGACTTAGACCATCCTTCAATCTCGTCCTAGCGCTGATAGGCCAAATCACCCGTGTGATGATAATACCCCAGATACAGCCAGACAGAACAGATGCAACACGATGGAGAGCTATCTCGGTTATAATCGGACTCTCTCCTCCTTCATCCTGGTCATCATTCCCTTCCTTCTGGCTGAGGGAGTACGCGTACAATACCGAGAGGTTGTAAGTAAGCATGATGAAGCGGCCCATCGGACCCTGCCCTTTGACTATTATGAGATACGATGTCCACGTAGCCATGAATAGCCCCACAGATGCGAGGCCATACATATTCCCACCTGTCACGTACCACGAAACGACGGCGCAGAGTGCCCCTAGGCAGGTACCCAAAAAACGGGCATATCCGGTGGTGTTTGAAGCACCGATGGTCATCGAACAAACTAGCATATACGACAAAAGACCCCATTCGCCTCTCCAGTGAGAGTAAAACGGTCTCGTAGACGGGAGAAATGACGGCAAAGCATAGAGCGCCGCACCTGTGCCCACTTTGATAGCAAACTTGGTATCATCCCGTCGAAGGATCTTGAGTGACTTCCAGATACGATAAACGAAGCCCTTTTTCCCCGACACGTTTCCTGGATGGAGGGATGATAACGATATTTTACCGTGTGGCTCAGCGTTGCCGACCTCCAATTGAGATCCAACACCTCGTTGTACGAAACCTGCTTCAATCAATGGATGATCTAGAGGCTAGTCAGCACCATTTTAACAGCTTAGGCCCATGCCAGCCCAGACAACATACCGGCATCCTTTGTTTTTACCCAAGCATTTCGTCGACACCAAAACCTCAACCAGTTCCAGGATCTGCCATTGGGCCTCTCCTCAGCTTCAAGCTGCAGTTCATCAAGTATTGCTAACAGATCCTTCAGCTGCTCACCGAACTCCAAAAGCGAAAAACTAAAATGGCCGCAACTGGCAGCAACTTCCTCAAGGTCCGCTTCAACTTCAAGGGTCTGGATATTTAGGACGTCCTTCTGTCGATATATAGTCTTCAATGCCTCTTCTCGGGATCCTCGATATAGATCAAGTGCCCGGTCAAGACTGGTGCGGAACCTACTATTGATTGCGATCCTGTAATCCGGTGCAGGTTTGAAAGGGATCTCCTTGAAAATCTCTTTCAAAGTGAATGCAAGCGATCTCTATTCACGATTAGTACCTATCAACACGTAGTGTTATGGTGCCTCGTTACCATCGAAGGCCCTAAATGACCTATAAATAATGCGAAAATATCCGCAGGAAGAAGAACGTGATCAGGTTCTGAATTAGAAGTATCTCTTCCCGGACTTGAATAAGGCCTATTTCTGTCCGAATCCAAGATTTCTTCTTCTGGCCTCTCATCTATCGGCTCCAAAATTGGCCGTTCCTCATGTAGTGACCATGGACTAGGTAATGAGCCTCGGTACATCCCGTTTATATCGGCTGCTTCGCTATTGTACTGCATCGGCCTGGCAAGTTTGGTTTGCTTTAGCAGCTGAAATTGCAGGAGAGCCGCACTGCGCAAGCCGCCCATGTTATGAGTGATATCCTGTACCCAGCGTACAAGTTTTTTCTCCAGCCTGTACTGTCTCTCTGTACCTGCAACAAAATGCTCCAGCTTCGCTTCTCTTACCAGTCTGTCAAGCTGGCTGTATGCCTGCTTATGGCGCGCAGCTGCACTTAGATATTCTTCGGTCTGAAGTTCCTCTTCAGATCCGGTAAGGAAGCTCTCGGTAATCAAGGCTAGCATCGTTGCTAGCGTCTCGGTGACCGTAGTGAGGTTTGCCCGTAGTTTTTTCCGCGCTGATATTGGAAATATCGTAAATGACACAGCCATGGCTGCAGCTACGCCCATTACGACCATTTTCAATACCTGGAAAATTTTAGCAAACGACAAGTCCCCATTCTGTACTGCGCCTTCTTTTGTCAAAACGGTAATGGACGACAGCGAAGCGAGGGAACAGGCGACATTCACAAGGGGGTCGCCCAGTCTTTGTTTTGTCCATCCAATAAATCCTAAACCACCTCCACAGAAGACTATAAGAACTATGGCATGACCGAGTGGGAGTAGGTCAAGGGTGTCCTGAAAGAATCTAGAGACACACATGCTTGTCAAAGAAATGAAGGCGGCGTAAAGAAATGCTAGGAAGGCACAGATTGATGCCTTGTACATGCTTCCTTGGGACCTTGCTGGGTGGAAGTAGACTGTAACGGTGGCCACAACATGCTTGCCATCTTGATGGCCTAGCCACGAAGCAATCGCTGGCACGAATGTTGCAAGCGATCCCAACAAGTAAGCTAGGCTGCATTTCAGGACCCCGATTCCCAGCTCAGTAGAAATAACTTGATGTATCCAAAGTTCTGCCTCTCGCACCTTTCTCCATAGGCGTAAAGGTATCCCTTCATGGCCCACGGAATACTGTCCAGAGAGTAGCCCGCGGCGTTCTTCATCATTGTGGCCATTCGGTTGGGAACGAGGGCTTCGTAGAGTAACTAGACCTCTCAAGCGTTGACCGGTTTTCGGTAAAACAAATGTCGCCTGCCGCAGCTTCATATCAGACTTATGGTTAGCAACGGTGGCTGGCCCTCTTTTTTTTATTTTTTTTTCCTCGAACACTTTCAATCAGAAGAAATCTGCCATGGTACCTTCTTCGGTCGCAAAAAGCGACGGGAACTACTCGACACGTCCCCAGACAGAGACATGTTCTCATCTCATTTTTCTTCTCCTTGCCTTCTTGGAGGCGCGCAGAGGACTCCAAGAGTTATCACAGCGGAGTTCGTGGGCGCTTGACGTACTGTGTAGCTGTAAATGACGATCATTGCTTGATCTATCCGGTTTGAGTGGAGAGTGTTCTGATCACCCGCCATCTTATCAACACGGCCTAGGTAAGTAAGGAACACGCATCCTACTGTACTAAGGTAATACGACTGCTAAAATAATGATAAGATACCAGGAAATTTGTAGATACAGTACTTCGTTGTATATGTGTATGTATGTACACTTCAAATTTGAGGGAAAGGACAGCGAGATAAGAAAGAAGCTGCACGGAGATGGCTTTCCTCTCGCCCATATGTATGTACGTATTCTATAATCGCTGCTGTCCCAACGCTCACTTCCCTTTGCTCTATTCCAAACCTTCCACTTTCCACAACTTGACTGCTGCATCCGCACCAGCCGATGCAATCTTCGACCCCGACACCCAGGCTACACCATTGACACCTTCTTTGTGAGCATTAGTAGCTTGAAGCCATTCTCCAGGATTGGCCAAGTTCCACACGAATATATTGGTGTCCAATGCCCCGCTCGCAACGTGTGTACCATCTTCGTTCCAGGCAATGGAAGTGATCCGCGAAGTATGTGCTGTCCAACGGTCTGTGACCAGACTGGCATCGGCAACCTTGTAAACGAGAACGCGACCACGCGAATCGCCAACAGCCAACAGGGAGCCATTCGGCGAGAAAGCCAATGCAGACACAGGATTCCGAGAAGCTTTAAAATCCGTTTTAGGAATCAAAGTAGCGCCTGAGATCTCGCAGATTTGAACACTTGAATCGTCACCACCGATGGCCGCAGTGCTTCCATGTGCTGCCACAGTAGTGATGGGAAACTTTGACTTGAAGTTGCCGATCTTCTGGCCGTCTTTGTAGATCTCAACGCTCTCCGATGTCCCTACCAATACCACGACAGCTGCAGCGATACCCTTGGGCTGTGCAGATAACTTGGAAGAGCTTCCGGTGTATGTTTTAGCTCCAACGTCCACGGATCTAATGGTGTCATCCCAGGCCACGCTGTAGATTCTACCATTGCCTTCCTGTGTCGGCGCAAGGCCTGCGATGTACGTCGAGTGACTCTCACCGTCCACCTCCTCCGCAGCCCCAGTGGGCACGTCCCAGCTGCAGACTCTGCCGTCGAAACTGCCAGTCCACAGTGTGTCATTATCGCTGCTAGGGCGGGAGCGTGTCAAGGATGTAATGTTTTTCTGGTGGCCTTGGATGACTTGTCTAGGCTCGGGAGCACCTTCAACAAGATAATTCAGGTTGCCACCTAGTGACAAACTGATAAGCAGATTGTCACTTCTACCCGGAGGCCAAACCACACCGACCTGCTGGTCTTTGACATCTGTACTGCCCTCCCCTCCAATGTTCCATGTTTGTGAGACTTTACCGGCTTCCACATCCCATATCTTGACCGTCTTGTCGGCACTCGCGGTTACGAATTTCCGAGAGTCCTTGGACCATGAAACACTGAAAATACTACCCTTATGCTCACCTTCCCCAACCTGGCCCCTTGGCTCTCCCGTCTTGCCATCATAGAGCCAGATCTTCCGGTCAGCACCAACGCTAACCAACGTTGAGCCATCCGGACTGAAGCTGACCCCATAAATATAATTAGTGTGCTTGTCACGGATACCTGTATTGAACTTGAAGGGCGCTCCATGGTAGAATACTAAATTCTTGTCATCGCCAGCAGCAGCAGCTCTCAGAGGTCGCTGTTGCCTGATCGAGATGGAGTTAATCTGTTGGGTGTGGCCATAGATTTCCCCGACAGTATTTCCACTATCCCAAGTAATGCAGTGGCCATAGCGTTGCTTCCCCTCACCTACGGCGATTATACGCTGGGAATCTCCGTCCCATGCGAGATCATTGATCCTGCCATTGACAATACTGTATTCTCCCTTCGTATGCCCTTCACCGGCGCAGTCCCAGACTCGAACTAAACCGGTTGCATCACCGCTAGCAACATAGAATCCAGACGGCGAAAACCGTGCGACCGTAGTCTGCGCCTTATGTTCGGTGTACTGCCTCGCGAGAGCGGGGTCGTCGATTGAACGCAAGAATATGGATTTATTGGCCTTGAGCCTCACTTCCCGTTAGTTAAGAACTTCTGATATCTCTTATAAAGAACGGTAGGTTGTCTTGTAATTACCGCATAAGCAAGTCGTTCGCCTTTGGCATCCGACGAGAGATGAGTGGGCTGGCCCCTGGTTGTAGAAGGACTGGCCGCCCAAATGAAGTCTGAAATGTGTTAGTTATCCAGGCTCGCATAGGAAAGGGTAAGTAAGGTCTTGACCGTTTGTAATTGACATGGCTGTGCGAATAGATAATATCAGCAATGAAAGGGAAAGGAGGAATCCGGAATTAGCAGAAGGTAAAGGGGAGCGCGGGCGATGTTGACAGCCATGGACGTCTCCTCCAGTTGACGTATTTATCGGTGGGGAACGTGACGGGACAACTCGTTTCCTCATCCTATGTCCAGCAATATTAGAATTTTGTACAGCAATAGTAGATAATTTGGAGATAACAGAGATTTAATCGATCGAATTTCTGATAGATAAATTACATGTCCAATCCCAATTTTCAGTGATGACTATGTTTGAATGTAGAAGTACAGTGTCTGGCTCCGAAAGGTGCCTGACTTCGAGATACTAAGAAGAAAACGTCCAAGAAAACGTATGGAGCTCTCCATAGAGCCTGCATATAAGTTCCCCGGTTCACATGGCCCCACATTGCTTCAGAATATGCTGCTTCCATCTACCTTCGCCTTCAATTCCGCTGCCAGGATCTCAGGATGTCTATGGACACTAGGCATCAGACCAAGGCCAATAGCCCTTCGAATAGCCTTTGCAATCTTCCGTTGGTTAACAGGTCGTAAACCAGTTGTATTTCTATGCTTTATACGCCCCATTGGGGTGATGTATTCAGACATGATCGAGAAGTTCTGCATTAACGCAAAATAAGTTAAGAATCACTGGGAGTCCGAGCCATCGAAGAAATAATCAGTTAAGTCATAACCGTACATACCTTGTATAAGTCTAGCGGGTTCATGTTCAAAGAATCAAAAGCATCTGTGGCTGGGCTGTAGCGCTTCCTCCACTTCTTCATCTCGGCAGCGCTGAGGTCATGAGGTGTGTAAATATCGCCTGCTCGCCAATCACGAGTTTGGTATTTCTCTAAGATTCGACTCTCTCCTTGGGTCTTTTGGTCTTCGATGAACTTTTGGCGGTTCGGTACACGACGGCGGCTGAATACTCTTGGTCCTATTTTCGGGACAGTCAGTGCTGGTCGAGGAAGTAATGTATAGAGAAGTACTTGATTCTGCAGGAAACATAGGTGGTCACAGCGTTTTGATATTCACGTACTTTGATTAGCGCTGGCAGCACGCTGATAAGCAGCGCCATCTGTTGCGAGAGTCGAATTCCACCGGCTTGCAACCATGGAGTTCATGGTCGACCCAAAGGTGCGCAATGGAGATGACCAAGACAAGAGATGAACAGCCATATTTGAGAACCGACCGACGACCTCGATTCTATCAAAGCAACTGAGGAGCGTCAATAACAGCTTGCAAGCATTCGAAGGTGGATGAGTTGGGCTCGGGGCAGAGTGGAGCGCATGAATTATAACTCGTTGGATTTAATATCTTTTCCGCGCCAAGAGCCGCAGGGAAACAAACCTCCGCGGCAACTCCAAAGTCCGTCTCACATTCTTCTTCTAATACTTTGTAATGCTCTCTGTTACACATTGTATATTCCTTTTCGATACTTCGGTACTCCTGAAGCATGATACATACTGGTTTGGTCAATTTCGCATAATATCCAGTGATAAGGTTCCCGTTTCAAAAGGGACAGGTCCATTGCATTAACATTTCTCTTTATAGCTTCATTCTATACTACCAAGATGCAATCTCACCTCACTAGAAGAGTTTTTCGAGCTATTCTGAACAACGAGCCGCTGCGTTCCTCACAATGCCGTCATCGACTACTACATACTCTCCGAACGTACCGATCCCAGGGGCCAGTCGTCACCAATATCCATCACCTCCAACGACGTAGGTTTTTCGCATTCAACATGGGACCGTCCACCACTCCCCAACCTGCGACTCTACCATCGGAGGCTGGCCTAAAATCAATGAGCGATCTGATGAGGGCGATGCGTGACAAAAGCAGGGGGCCTGCGATTAGTGTTCTTGCGAAGGCCGTTCAGGATTTCTTTGCTGCACGAGCGGACATTCCCGGGGTCATTACGGGCTTTCAAGCCCGTTTGCTCGTCGTTACTTGGAAGCACTTGCGAAATAACGAGGGCGATCTGGAGCCCGAAGATTGGAAATTGATCTTTTCTACCGAGAACCTGGAGAATGTGTTATTCGTTCTGTCCCAAGCAAAATGCCTGCCAGAATCCCGCGAGGTAATCCAAAGGTTAGCCCGATACGTTTTTCTGGAGCTTTGTGCGGACCACGGGTTTGGCCCCAACCACATAGGTCGACCCGCGCTTATTGCCTATATTACTATTCAGGCTTTGAATGGAAATCCGGAAGGAGCAAGACATGTCGTTGAGAAGTTCTGGAACAGGCTTTGCAAGACCAATCCCTCCCCTTGGCTTACAGTCATGAAAGGATTTGCAATCAATGAAGATAAACGTCTCCTCAGACGGACAACTGAGAGCCTTCACGATTTTGGCATAAAGTTTGACCCTGCCTCCCACGAAGAGTTACTCAAGGTCCTCATTGGACAAGATCTCCCGGCTGCAGTCAAGATAATGTACGAGTGCCCTTTGTTTGATGGCTGGGAGCCTACTCTAGCTACAAAAGAAGCCGTTATCAAATATGCAATCCTGCGTTCAGAAACGGCGTGGGCCGAACCTATCTTTAAAGCCCTTTCGCAAAGACCAATCACAGAGACCATGAGTATCACGTTGCTTTGGGAAGCAGCCCATGGACGAGATGCGTCTGCAATCGCTGAAAAGGTCAGGGTTCTAATCCAAAATAGTCCAGAAGCCAAAGCATCGCTCACGATCGGATGTGTGAACAACTTGATGGCATATGCCAATTTTACCAACAATCCTCAATTGACTGCTGAGTATGCTGCTCTGATCCCGCGTTGGGGTCTACAGCCCAACTCCCAGTCGCATTTATTGGAACTCGAATCTTATATACAAGCCGGCGACGTGGAAAAAACTCTCGGCCATGTTCAGGGCTTGCATGACATCAACGACAAGGCTTTTGAGAATTATTCGTTGATGAACAAGTTGATAACAATGCTTTGTTTATCAGGTCAAGGGGATGCCGTATTTGATCAGGTTTCATCCTTGCTTGACCCGTTGTTTGAGAATAGTGTTCGATTAGAGCCTGAGACGCTCGCGGCACTAACGCATATGTTGCTCTACCGTCGTGACTGGGATGGGGTGTCGGAACTCCTTCGACCGCGTCTGGCATTATATGATGACGAGGGAAGATCAAAGATACGTAAAGCGCTCACCGACTATATTTTGGACCTTAACCAAGATGGCGCAGATGCATGGGAGGTGTATGGGTTACTGCAGCTGGCATTTCCCGAAGCAAGCGTAGGCACGCGAACCGATATCATGACAGCATTTTATAAAAGAAACCGGAGTGATCTAGCCTACCTAGTGTTCGGGCATATGCGGCAGGCGGAAGACTTTGCTCGGCGCCCAAAGCCAGACACCTATACCAAATGCTTCCGGTGGATAGCTCGAACGCGTGATGCAGAGCATCTGGTGCTTGTTCATAACATGCTGAAATTAGACGTTGAGGTTGATCTCAACACCAAGTTGCTAAATGGGCTAATGCTCGCTTACGCAGCCTGCGACATGCCTGAGAAAAGTATGGAGGTGTTCCGTCAAATCCTCCAGTCAGACGAAGGTCCCACGCATAAGACAGTTGCAATATTCTTCAAATTATGCGGAAAGCACCACAATGGCATACAGGAGGCAATGAAGATGATGGAGAAGGTCAAACTTCTCGAAATTGAAGTGGACCGCCGGCTGTACATGACCTTTGTTGAATCTCTCGCTGCGCAATGTGAATTTGACCTTGCTATAGAGGCTATAGACAAGATGCACAGTGAAACAGGGTACCTACCGAATTATAACTCGTAAGTTTTGGTGTCTACCTTCGCAGCTGATACCACGGCTGACGTAATTTCCAGTATTGGTCTTCTCTACAACGCAGTTCCATATCAATACTGGAAAGACGAGGTGGAGAAATGGGCCAAGGTGAAATACCCAGAACTATGGGCGCAACTCAGTGAGATCGACCGCACAGAGGAAGAAGAAGGGCCAAAGTTTAATATCACCGGCTATGAAGTCGTCGTCTAATTTGGGGCGTATATGTCATATACTGTGTTAGTAGGATTATGAAACCTTGGACTTGATTTCCCCTAACAGCAGGAGGGATGTATTGGCAGATGTTGCACTGGCACCCTCTACTGGTGTGCTACCTATACATATCATAATCTGTAAACGTCAAACCTCCTACACGTGAAGTTAAAAACTATTCTCATCGCTCAATCGAGCCCATCTGAGTCTTCAGACGAAAGGTGTTTTTGATTTTGTTCTAAGCCCCAAGGGCACTCCTAAGTACATGATACCGCCGGCTCAGAACCGGAAGGGGCTGCTTTACCCCCGGGGCGCTTGAATCGGGGAATCGAACCACCGTTCGCCGCTCCTACCGGAAGCCCATCCGAGTGTTAAGCATGGTCTGTGAAAAGAGGCTGTATGAAGCGCAAAAGGATGGGAGAGAAGGCGGACTGCATCTAACGGGCACCTCCATGCCTAGCAAGAGCTCACTATCATCTCACAGTGGTGATTCCAATACATGATACATTTCCAGCACTCACTACTAAAATCATGTACTGTAGACTACACTAGGCTGCTACGATACCTGTATTTCAATTGACGGGTTTACCTATTGTAAGGTGCCGAAAATTTTCCCGCTTTTTTTAAACATTAGTATCTCTGAGGTTTATAGGCTATCAGATACGCCAGGGGGGCAACAACCAAACTGATCCATCCTTTCTAAGCAACATTGTCATGACTATTTCGGGCCACAACCCTTGGTGCCTATCAAATACTAAGAGAGAATGGCCCTGGAACAGTGGAGAATTTTATCTATGTCATTGTAGCCAATAAAAAAAAAATGTTTCCTGAAGGCGCTCTTGATTGTGGGAACACTGTATAATATTTTACGATATTTAGATCTAAATTTGAGGCAGAAGGAACCCACTAACTCTTCATTACTCGTGACTCTTTTTTGTATCCCGTGTATGTGATGGGCATAATTTGCCATGATTAATTTCTGTAGCACTGGGTATGTGCAGTCATGTATAAACCCGGAAGATGCAATATCATAATGAGGAACATCACGTCGTCTTTCTAAAGCATGTTACGCCATAGCCTTGGAAAGTCGCTTGGTCATGCTATTGTTATGGTTAGTAAAATGGACTAGTGGCTTGGGGCTAGTGAAACCGATGCACATACAAGTCAAAGAAGGAGAACTGGCTAGGGTTGCTGCCATACTCGTACACAAACCGACTTGCGAGGTAGCTGCCAAAGATGGCTCGGAGGTAGTTCTCAGGAACCTACGTGTATCGTTAGTTTCACAATTGATACTGACGCTGAAGGTTGGAACTCACCCGTTGCAGGATTGTATCGAGGCCAATCTTGTTCAAAAGGAGCTTGGGCAAAGCGTCATCAAGAACCGAGCGGCGGAGTTCAACATTGTCCCACAACTCAGTCTTTTGTAGCTCCTCATCAAGCTTGGTAATAGCCAGACTGAGGCGATCACTAAGGACGCTGCGGAGAAGGCCAGTTTGCTCATGTTCACGCCAGATGGCCTCGAACTCAAGAGTAGCATTCTGCTTGATGACCTCCTGGACCTGTTTGACATAATCCTGGTAGAATGTGGGAACACTGCCATCTTCACGAACACACATGTTTTCGACGAACTCCTCGTCGTTGAAGGACAACGACGCAAGGACCTCTAGTGACGACGAAGTCACACCACCCTTATTTGCCGATGCATCCTTGAACAGTATACAACCGGACCTTTCGAGCCGGAGTTTACTGTCTTGTGTGATGAATAAGTTAGCACCCTCGACAATGTAGGGGATGCTGGATTTGCCGTTGTGGATAAGCTTTGCAACCGTGGAAAGATCAATGGACTCCGGTCGTCCACCACAAGGGACAAAGACATCGTAAGGTAGTTCTCGGCGCAAATGGAAAGTATTGCGGAAGATCATCCCGTTGTGGATGAACTCGCCATTCGGCAATTTTACGTTGCTCTCATCCACCAGAACGCGGTAGCCCTCCGGTGAGAGTTTCGACAAGTTATATTCGGAGATAGTCACGCGCTTCTTGGCAAGCCGGACCAGCTCCTCATGGTCCAGACCATTTGGATCGACAATAACACCGGAACCATCAACGATAGCGGTGTATTTCTCGTTGGCCAGAAGAATCTCATTTGATCCCAGGTCACCGTCGGGGCCACCGGTTTGCAGCTTACGAACGGTGGATGGGTCGATTTTCAACTTCCTGTAGATCCCAAGAACATATTGGCGGACAGACAAGGTCGTCATACCGTAAGTATCATGCGGGATACCACCCAACTTGGGACTCTTGCCTGTAAAGAATGACTTCCACCAGGGAGCTCCACGATTTCTTGCATGCTCGGTAGCCCAGTCCACCAACTCGGCCGTGTTCTCATCGGGTCCCATAAAAAGGATCTCATCTTTTCCATGCAAGTCGACAATAGGGTCTTTGATGCCTGGACTGACAGGAGGCAGCAGGAGATCGAGAATGCTGTCAATGTATTTCTCAAAAGCGACAGCTGCTTTGTCCTGATGGCTTACGTCTAAAAGTATCACACCCTTTGCACCACCTTCGGGGATGTCTTTATTCTTGCGCTGTTGGGTGTTGGCTAGATTATAATTCTCATCGAACAGTGCGCGAGCGTTAATGCTGTAGGCTTCTTTGTTCCTGCTCTTGACGATACGAATGCCACCACGAGCAATATCACGGAATCGTAGATGGAAACCTCGGAACTCTGAGCTAATAACTAGGAACATGCCGTAGAGACGCTGAGGGTACTCGTGCTCCGGAAGGAAATCTGGGTTGAGTCGGAAACTAAGGGCCACCTTTGTAGGAGTGAAGAAGTTGGTCTTTAAGATGGCGGCGTTGAACACGCGGAAGGCGCTCATGACCATCTCGTCGTGTTCATTGGCCACAGTACTTGAGATGAGTTGTTTCAGCTTCGCACCATCGAGGACTTCGTCAACCTGGAGGCGCAAATAGCTCAGGGTTGGAAGAAAATCATCCTCGGCAGGACCACGGGTTTGAACGTAGTGAGTGTTGGCAAAATCCAGGTAGAGCTTGTGGATGAGTTCCGGGTACTTGTTAACTATCTCCGAGATATAGTCGGATGTGAAAGTCTCGGTACGCAACCTCTTCTTGATCTTGGCTAACAGCTCTGCGTGGACACTATTATTGGAGTCCAGAACATCGGTCAGAGAGGTGTACTCAGAGCCCAAGCGATTTAGGAACTGTTGGACGAAGACCCAAGCACAATGGGCATAGATGGTCTCCTGCAAGCTAAGACGACCGACCGCAAAGTGATGTTGGAATCTATTCTGGGGGATGCAGTAGAGTAGAGAGACCTCTTTGATGATCTGGTGAACGGCTGCCTCAATAGGGGGATACTTGGCGGCAATTTCAGCATCTTTCAGAGGGCGAAGGTAGAGAGATATGACCGTGATGCCGTTAGAAAAGTTCTCCAGGTATTTACGAGAGCTTGTCAGACGGTAGTAATGGTATAGATCAGAGAGCGCACTGAATAGACCCATAGCAGAGCCCTGACGATAAGCGATGACCAGTCTTTTTTCGCGGCTCTTCTCGATCTCAAACATCTCAATGACAGGACCAGATCGATTAACGGCATTCGTGATAATCTCTTGATAGATGGCCTTCGTGTTCTCCGTTGCCTTTTGCAAGAATCTCTTTTCGCCGATTATATCGATGTTCGTTTCGTTCGGACCCGGGTTAGGGTTGACGAACTGGCACTTGTAAACAAAGTAGCACCGGAGCTGTTGGCCATCGTCCCCGGGAATTGAGGTTGGCGAACGGAATGTCTCGACCCGATAGCTGTTGCCAGGTGTGGAGCAATTTACATATTTCTTTTCGATTCTTTGCTCATACCGGGGGCCATCGACCGACGTGATGCCGGGCTTGCTTGTGTCGATGTAGACCGCATGATCCTCAGCTTCCTTATCTAAACGGATCTCGAGTTTTTTATCATCACGAGCGTACGCTGCAACCTTGGCCGCATAGAGAGAAAGGATCTGCGTAACGATAGCATCAACAGTCTCGGTTTGGAAATATGTATCATCAATCCCAAGTTGATTGTAAAACCATTCGGCTTCTCCAGCGACGAATTCCGTGGGAATAAAGCCTTTGCTCTCCAGCTGGTCCATAACTTAAAATGGAGTCAGATAAAAGAAGAGAACTCCAATGTCATAAAGAGAGGGGTAAAAAGCGAGCAAGACTTACCCTGTTCCATCTGCTTCTCTTTCCCTTCGAACTTGGCGGCAATATAGCCTGGGTCCTCCTCTGACAAGATTCGGTGCATGCCACCGCCGGGGAAGCCAGGTGAGTGGGTTGAGGTGACGGTTGGCGCACATTCGATCCGGCTACATTCTCAAGGAACTTGTTGTGAGGATGTCTCTGGAATCCAATGGGAGTTCCAGCGCCAGACTGAGCGCCATCATTGCTGCCGTAGAGCTTGGGGCCTGGGCGCACGGGTAGGGTGTTGGCTCCATTGAGGTACCCGTCCGGCTGTGGGGATGAAGATGCAGTAGAAGACACCATGGTATTTAAATAGAGTACTTCAGGCGAGGTTTAATTGAGACGAAAAAGGAGTACGGCGCGCTGGTAAATTTGTAGTGAGGAGAGTTAGTCATAGGGCGAGAGAAGAGCTGTGGCGCACGATATTGAAAAGAAAGCTAACTGGAGAGAAGATCGGCGGGGTTTTGGGTAGAGATAAGAACGGCTGGGCAAGGTTCAGGGACTGGCAGTGATAGCAAAGAAGTGGATCACGCCCGAAACAGACGTACATACCTCAAAACGACGAGAGGGGGATCCTCCTTGTTTGATTCTTTTTAATTTTTTTTTCTCTACTACCTTGGACCTGATTGGTTGAAGACAAAAGCGAGAACAGCCCTTCAGTATAGAATGTTATCAGAGAATCGCGAAAAAGAACGAGAAGTGAGAGGTCACTCTACTTCTTGGTACAAGCCATGCAATCGACACGTCACCGGGCTGGGACTGTCAACAACTGGGGTATGGAGATATCAAAAGACGGTATGAATATGGGGAGAGGAGAGAGAGATATCTCTTATATGATCCTATGTATAATCGAAAACTCACAGGAACAGCAGCGGGCTCCAAGTCCTTATAAGTCCTTGAACATTGCTGAGATCATACCCGGCGCTATGCGATCGGCCAGGCACGGGGACCGGTCCGGGGCAGTCCTGTCTGGGAAAGAGTGGATAAGAGTCTCGAATTGTTGATCCGATGTCCATCCTTGTATTGGAGTGGATCTTACTCCGTACATGTGGATCAGGTTGATTGATGGCTTTAGTGCGGTGTGGTCATTAGATTACACAGTACTGTGTAGTTCTGCATGTACAGTATCCTCCACGTTGCTCCAACTAAGAAGAATCCTAGTTTTACACCTTCTGACTACCATCCCTTTAAATATACGTCTCTATGTATTCTGGTATATATCTCATTATCCTTCGTCTTTCTTAGTAGTCCTCTAATCTCTTTCCTAATTTTTTAAATCTCTCATTTTTGCTGGTACCAGTATTCAATTGTACCAAAGTTTTTGCCAAGTTTTGGGGGGCTCTGATTCCAATTCAGGGATAGTGCCGCCGTAGTGCGAATGAGGCAAGAAGAGAAAATACCGCATCTGAAAGACGTGATTGGCTCCCTGAGGCTAAAATTGGACAAAATTGCCTCAATCTGACGTCCCCAGTGTGGCTCGGCCAACACCTGCCTTAGACACTACTACTAGCTGTGCTTCAACAAAGAAAAGAATTGCCTGACAATAAGGACAACTGCACAATTAGGACCCATCTACAGTAACACCTATGTAGCGAGTACCAGATAATTTTCAGCTGATTAAAACATATACGGGTCTGTTAGTCAGCTGACAAAAAGACGCCTTGGCCCCAGGTCTGGCGGGTTTTATCACTTTGTGCGTAGCTCTCCACTTAGTAGGGCTGTCCGTCTTGAAAGGGCATTTTGGTGTGTCATGGTGGCTAGTGACCTGCAAATCATCATCAACGACTGTTGCATGCAATCGGTTCTGCATGATTCTCCTGCGTAATAACTGATTCAGAAAATGCCGCAATTTCGTAACCGATAAGATTGCTAGGCAGGTGTTGGTTGAACGATGTGCTCGGTGGCTGTTTACCTATACTTGTATGGAATTGTGAAATCTTTTTGCAGAAGGCAAAAGCATATGGGAGTTTGAATAGAAGAAAGAAGATTGATTGATTGGTACTTTATCATAACATATAATCAGAACATTATATGCTGAATGTATTAAAATGTAAGCAGAATAGGAAGAAAAATGCTATAGGGTGGGATCGAATCATGGGACCTCTCAGAATCTTCGGCGGCAAAGAAAAGTAAGATGAAGTCACAGGTCAGAGTTTTTCACGATACTGCGGGGTTAGTCGATCCCAACCGTGATCCGTACCTGGATCAATGGCCTATCCAGTACTAGTGATTTGCGGGGTGAATCCGCTCAGTCCAATCCCACTTCACCATACTCGGTGTAGCCTCCAAGGTCCTGTTCTCATTATTAAAATGGCTCAATTCTACCCCATGCTATTACCCCATGGAAATCTCGCCCACAGACATTGTTAAGCCACAGCTGGGTATGAAGGCGGGGTTGGTTTAGGCTCTCGCCCGTTGCGGTTCAGTGTCTCCAACTAGTACGATGTCTGGACTCTTCTGCCTGGGTCTCCACTTACCTCCACTGTTCAAGGGGCAGTATGAGCCTACGAGGCACGGAGTAATCTCCAACAAATTCTTTCTTACTTCTCCAACATAGTGCCACGACGCGACCGAATCGGTAAAATTCTGGACGGCCTAGAAAAATTGTTTATTCGATGACGTGATCAGCCACTCAAAGTAGAAGTCTTTGAATTGATTGCAAGGTAAGTGAATGAACTAATGATTAGCGATTAGCAGACAACCAAATGCTCATACATATCGTTAACAATGGCTGTTTCACCGGCATTTGCAAAGAACAGGAACTGCTTATCAACATCGGCGAACTCGTGTTAAGCCAGAATCATTACACATGGCCTGGACGGGCGTGTATAGAAATATCTCTTAACTCAAGACGCCGGTACTGCTGGGGACCGCTTGGGATGGTGCAATCTGACAAGTTCGGATATCTGTTCTAGGGATATGGGTACAAGGATGTCCTGGAGGCTACGCTATGTCTAGGTCACTTTTTCTTTCCCTTTTTTCTGGAATTGAACAGATTACCCGGTGATTAAAGGACCAATGAAACCACTACGAAGAACCTTCGAGTCAAATGCTGTATATGAAAGACAGTCCTTGATAGGTTTTGATATAGCATAAAAACTATCAGAGATAAGAAAATCAGGCTAAGGATTGGCCTAAACCTGGATACACCAAAGACAAAATACCACTGAATGCTAGGAATGGATTGCATTTTGCCTTATGCCGTAGTGTAAAACTTTCATGTGGTTATCCTGCTACCGAATACATCCATCATGATCAGTGCCATTCTGATAGAACTATACAGTTCTGTCTGGTAACGTGTGCTTGGGACACGCGCAGCTGTGAGATGCATCCTTTGATTACTTTGAAAATATCTTCGGAAGGATGCTGATTGAACGATGCTCAATCAGATCTAACGTTAATGGTGCAGCTTGAGTCATGGATAGGCTTTCTACCTCTAGCCCGACCAGGAGCGCTTGTGCTATAAGCAGATAAAGTAATTGGTTAGCAAGTGAGTACAATAGTAGAAGATAGCGTACTCTTAAGCAACAAGAGCCGCTGCTAGCTAACTCAGGGTCAGCGGATATCTGGACATGGCTATCTCTAACAGCATAGTGATATGTGTTGTAGGGGTAAGTGCAGTCAGTATACTTTCTACTACGGAGCAGTCTTGGCAAGTATTAAGGAATGACTCTATGATTTCGATTGGAAAGTATTACTCTCCTTAGGGTGGAAACAGAGAAAGCAAAAGCAAGGAGAGATGGGGCAGGGAATCATATGATTTACTCCCTAGACTCAATTCCTGAATGCTAAGATACTTCCAAGCTGTCATCATATGTTGCTATTTAGGCTTGGCAGTTATTCAATTTATACAGGTGAACTATGAGTAAACGCAGACACCACCAAATCTAATTTATGGAACTTACAACTACAAACCAGTACTGAGGACTGTAGAACACCACCATAAATAACACATGTGAATAAAATGCATTTGAACACACTTGTGGATCAAAACATTCGCTTACTATGAATCTGGTTGTGCATAAAGGTTCATTTTCAATATACCTTTAGGATTTCTGTCCCCCACGCTCCCTTTTTTCCTTTATTTTGTACCCCTATACCCTACTATCCCCATTCCTACGGTGTAATGCATCGTGCCGGCAAGCGCAGAAAAATTGCCTACAGCTAGTCAAGTACGCAGTCATCCATTCTATAACTGCATGTGCTGTCATGTCGGTGAAACGAAACTAAAGGATAGGAGTCCATGGTTCAAAGTGCTAATGGATAAAGAGGATATAATGGAGGGTGAGTATTTGCTCAAGAAGTTAGACAAGTAGGTACTTCCGGACCTAATCATGACAAGGTCTAACTAGGGAGCACGAATGAGTATATATCTGGAAGCAGTTGTTTTCTCTTCCTGAAGGGTCTTCGCCGTCTCTAACAGTCTGGTAACTTACTCGGGAGAATCGCCGGGGTTTTCCTGCATCGAGAGTTATAAAATGCGACCATGGCCCCGGAATTCCGTTAGATCGCCGTGCTATGTCGTTTCCCAATATTGCGAAATAAAGTTACCGTTGTTTACATGGAGCTTATAAACATAAAAGAAATACGTAAATATAGGGCCTGGTATTCTGGAATCTCTCCGGATAAGCAGTTGCACCTTCAACTGTTGCATGAAAGATTGGTAGACTAAAAGCCTACCTACAGCCCATCAGATCCCCAGGTATTGAATCAACTGGGCTGAATGTCTATACACAGTAGTGATCCCTCCACTCCATTTTTTCATTTCCCTCTTCATGCCCTCCACAATCTCTACCCCATGCATACGTATGTCCCAATCCCAATGTTTCTTTATCAGGCACCAGAAGCATGGCTCAGCTAAGTCCACAATGATCTGCACCTTATTCGCCTTATTTCCCTAGTCCTCGCCCTTCCATCCCGTCGTCATGGCAAGAATGCCCACTAAAGACGCTCTGAATACCCAGCCACTGGCACCGGAATAAGACATGGTTGGGTGGTTTGTTTCTGTTTCTTTTTTCTGGGCTTTAAGATATGACGACCCTCAACAGGCACAGAGATGGGCTAACTAAACCGATATAAAAGGAGTGACTATATAGAGAGGCTATCAAATATATTGTTTTCTTGATTAGTATCGTTATTTTGACCCTTTATGTGTATATGTCCTCTACGAGGTGATAATGAATCCCCGAGGTAAACTAGTAGACATAAACGACTATTTTATTTCGAGGAACTAGTTTGTTTTCTTCTGAGCCCTTTGTCCAACTCACCATGTTTTTGATCTCCGTTTTTGTCTTGACCTAGCAACCTACTCTTGCTTTAACTCTCTGCCTATCACTCAATTCTTAGTAGCTTATTCCCCATTTTGTCACAATGCAATTGCCTCCAGTTCGATGACCGTCAGCCTAACTCTCATTACCACCTACCTGTCATGATACTTCTGCACCAGGGTAGCTCTTGTTCTATATGCCAGTGTACTAATAGTTTATGGACTTCTAGCTGCTCCCTAAATTGGTCTATCTGGAGGCTTACATCTTCATTCTGCAGGAATCCGGGCCTTGTACAGGACTCACTCATTGAAGATAGATCAAAGCTTATACCTCCGTTGACCTTTTTCGAGGAGCTTATCTCACCAACGATCATCCACCAAACAGCCCACACCCATTGCCGAGATACAGCTGCGGACATGATCATACATACTTTACCAAACAACACAATGATATCTCCTATCTCCCACCCCCGCAGCCAACTAACTGCCCTCACCCCGTCAGCTCTTGTGCAGGATATCTCGCGCGCTTTCAAGGCAGCGACTTAGATCCCTAAGTCTGTCCGTTTCGAGCCCCAGCCTCACTCGCTAGGATCTGCAAGCTCCTCCGCCACAACCTCCCTCACCCGCGGGATTAAGGAACGTACTTGCCTTCTGGGTTCGATAGATGGTAAACGTGTCTAGTCTGAAGATATTTGGATCTCACTTGGGATACCCGTTTTGTTGTAATATTTACGATGGGGTCACAACTCTAACTTACATCATATCCCACTTAGCGCGAATAATTTGATTTGCAGAACTTGCTCAAATTCTCCTGAGTAATAGGTTTCTTTAGATACGGAACTAGAAAAGCAGGATCTGTATATATTTTATCTTATTATTATTTTTCTCGCTATCTTTCCACCCCAACTTTAGCATGGCATACGACAAAGACTACATTATGAGAGTGGCCTGACCATTATCCCTGGAAAGAAGTTCAGGTGCTTCTCATCCTGAAATTCTGAGAACAACATGGTTGTGTATTTCAGCGGCATATCTGGCAAGCCACTATGAAGCACATCGTATAGCCATCTCAATCGGCGGTCTCGGGCCTAGTATACCACGCATAGTATTCGCTAGATATAGGGTGCTCTCTTATCGTGAATCGGATGCCACGCTGCACTATGCACATTGGCTATCATGGCGCGACACCAACAACAAACTGGTTAGTGAAGGGAGTAAAAGGGGTCACTAAGGTTGTTACGAAAGACCCGGAACCTAGTAGTTCAACGACTTCATGCCAAGGCCGAAGTGACCTAAGCGCCAAATCAATCGATCAGTTCATGCTCGTCATCGGCCGGGGGTGTATATCTCATGGGGCATGCTAAACCCCCGCATATTGCTTGTTTTAGATTGCTGGTTCGGCGAGCATACGTAACGTTACGTACGATATTCACTAGTGGTGACCCCATTGGCAGGGTTTTTGAGGTTCATAAGATGTCCACATTGGAGCATTCTCAACGCTGTTGAAACGAGTCTTCGAATGACGCAGGATCCCGAGCACCAAGTTGATTGTAGATATTCTCTAATTCTGCTATGGCATCGGAATTTCCTTGGAGCGCGGCATCGTTAAGTTGCTGAATCTCGGCCAATTGCTCTTCTGTCCGCGCCCAACCGCGCAAGCGCTCTTCGAGATTCTGAGCTCGTTTCAGACTGAAAACGGTGCGTACAGTGTCTATCTCCCCTCTGGCTTGCTTGACGCTCCTCAATCGCTCTAAAAACAGAGCCTGGTTTGTTTGAAGCCCGACTCTGCGGGTTGTCCCTCCCGTCACGTCTAGTGCATCACCCGAGTAGAGCAAGTGCTGAACGGGGCCTGTACTGGAGATAAGGTTCGCCCTGCGGCCTAGAATCTTGACACTATTAGCGGCGATGAGGCTGAAGGCTTTATCAAGCTTTAACGGAACAACTCGGGTAGCTGTCGCTTCGGGTTCTGGCCCTGGTCCAAGTTGAGGTTCCGGCTCAGGCCGCGTGAAGTGTAATTCGGTGCCAATTTGATCGGCCCAGGAGCAGCTGAATATTTGATTCTGGTATGAGACGACGGGATTGTGGGTATGAAGGCCTAGGATTTGGAACCCGTCTGCAGGGCTACTATCAGACTCTGTGCTTGCTAGAGCCGACTCATTCTCATCGTTTCGGAAAGGGTGGATGGAGACAGATGATCGACCTGAAGTAGCCGCAGCTGATGAAGACTCCGTCGCAAGGTCTGCCCGTCGTCGAGAGGGTCGGATGGGACCATGAGAGGAGGTGAGGTCGATATTAAGATACGAGGTCTATGAGCGACTTCCAGTCAGCTGGACACAAATTAGGGTGCGTGAGAGAGATGCAGAGTGATGATCGCAATAGGATACCCCGAATCAAAACGTACCTCTAGCTCATTCTCATCGTATTCGTACTCATAATCGGAACCCTCCTCGTCCGATAATGTTGAGTCCATTAGCATGGCGGGGTCCAGGACCAATGTAGGCTCCGTATGAGAACACATGGCGAGATTAGATAATCCTTCCAGACCCAATGGATTATTCGGTACAAAAGATAGTACCCATCCAAAATTACAATGGGAAGTAGTAGAGGTGATTGGTGATTGGTGAAACGCGGAGGGGTTGCGAATTAGAAGTAGTTAGTAGTAGGTAAGAAACTGAATCCACGGGGTCCGCGGGAAGATCGGCCCGCCTTATGAGTTGTTGTTAGGTTCAACTTCAGGCTAACTTCAGTTAAGCCTCTTTTTAGTCTAGCCTAGTAGTCAATCAAACAGGCGGTGACTGTGTTACAATTGAATCCTTGAATCAAGTCAACAATGAATATATTCTTTGGAGGAAAATAAAATAAAAATTAGTTTTTCAAAAGATAGGTCCTACTGATTGAGGCATCGACTGCTAATAATAACTAAACTATACATCACCATCTGCCTGACATCTTCACACACTCCTCTGTTTACTACTGGGACGTACGCAGTATTTGGTACTAGCACTACTTAATCTCATCCACCCTGGATCCCTTGTTTACCTTCCTTGAAAGACATAACTAATCAACCTTTGGTGATGACCTCATCATCTCCACCTCGAATTTACTGCTCCTTTCTTGCCTCCTCTTCCACTTCCTCCCGGTTCAGCCTTACTTCAGCTGTCCTGTTACTGCTGCTGCTCTCTCCATTCATATTGAGATCTCTACTGAGACTATGCCAAGTAAGTAGTAGCTTACACGACTAAACATTTTAACATACTCCGTATTGCCATCTGCTTCCGTCCCTTCCGTCCTGCGTTTCCTGATTGATTCGGCAGTGCGCGGAAGCAAGGGAGCTACTAGTAGGAGTGCTGCTGATCTGGAAGATGCATCCGTCACCTTCCATGCTATGATCATCCATTATCTAATCCCCTTCCGTCATTCCCGACCTGTCTCTCTTAGTGGACAATTCAGTCATACCTGTCGTCCAACTACCTTAGTGTCAATCTTTCCATCTAGTCTTTTACTGCTCTCGGTGGCCATGCTATCGTTCTTAATGCTGTTCTCGACCGCTGCTGACGGAGCAATAATGCCTGCGCGCCTCCCTTATAGTGTCTCTCTCTCCTCCATCTCCGTCTCCAGGTCTGGCTGCCTGGCTTTATTGCTGCCATATCTTGTCTCTGGTCTTCTGTAGTCCTGCCACGGCGTGGTCTCATGTGCTTTATCCTTTACTTTCTTCACTTACCTCCGAGGACCCTGTCTTGAGTGCCACAGTCTTATCTGAGTCTAGTAGCGGTGCTATTGCGGTTAGAGCGTCTGTCAGCACCACCAGTGCCACCACTTTTCTACGCTCTGCAGTGCCCGTTGCTAGTCATCCTAACGAGGTCGGGTTTGCTTTCCGCAGTTCGTCACATTTTAATCATTCCGACCTCACAGCTCCACCCAACTTTCGCCAGCAGATGGTACAAAGAGCTACCGCCGCAATTGTCATCCTTTCGTCGCTAATCACATACATTTCAATCAATAGCTTGATCCGGACTGTCAATCCCTCGGCTTTCATCTGGTCTGCTGAAGATAAAGACGAGGCACGCTGGATTGCTTCCTCGCATTCGTGGTTTGATCAGAAAGCCTGCCGGTGGCTAGGGCTCTGTGGTACCGCGCATTACCGCGCGGTCCGCCCCCGTTTCGGCCAGCACAAGCTTGTCTCTGAGACACTTTCACCAGGGGAGTCTAATTCTACTTCCTGGAGGGCGTCTTGGTCAAACGGGGGCAATCTTTCGGACACCACGTGGGACGAGTCCGAACGGTCTCATCGAGAAATTCCAGACTACGTTTTTCGATATGCGCCTCTCGTCCACTTATTTTCAGGCGAACAGTTCTGGCCTGGTGATATCGCTGAGCACCTCTATCACACAACCCCAATGCTGAATTATACACCCGTCCGGTCACAAGATGATCATCCGAACCTACAGGATCTTAACCAATTAAATCAATTTCAAGAAGGGCGCTACATATTTTTGACGAGTAATGACAACGTTGAGGATCGTCCGTCCTGGTTGGAGGGAGAGAAAAACATACCCGACCCTCCTGAGGATGGAGATGTAGCACAGTCCTGGGCGGATTGGGACGGTCGAGTTGATGGAGATATCCCAGGCGACACCCCAGAAGAGAGAGCTAAGTGGTGCGATGCAAGCCAAACTGTGCAGGACAGAGAAGGCAATATGACTCCGAATAAGCCCGGTTATTTAGATCTAGAAGACGAGTGGGTTCGGGACGAACTTCGGAAACGGTATGGTGGGGAGCCCGTCCGTATGGAGCGATCTGGGGGTCACAGCAATGCGCCAGCTGTGCTGATCGTTATGGACAAAGGTAACGGCATCATTGATGCTTTTTGGTTCTATTTCTACAGCTTCAACCTAGGGAATGTAGTTCTGAATGTGCGATTTGGGAACCATGTCGGCGACTGGGAACACTGTCTCGTGCGATTCCACCATGGTAAGCCCAAAGCACTCTTTTTCAGTGCCCATAGTGCAGGCGAAGCATATAGTTACGAGGCTGTCGAAAAGATTGGGGACCGAGTAAGTCAAAGTTATTTGAGAACATACATGTACCACCGCCACTGACCGGGATCATCAGCCAGTCATCTACTCGGCGCTGGGAACCCATGCCATGTACGCGACTCCCGGTATCCACGACTATATTTTGCCATGGGGTCTCCTTCACGATCAGACAGATCGCGGCCCGCTTTGGGATCCTCTCTTAAACTCCCATTCATACACCTACGATCATAACAATGATACTTTGCTTGCATCCACTTTCAACCCAGATTCACCCACAGAATGGTTTTATTACAATGGCCATTGGGGTGACAAGTTCTATCCGTTGGGAGATAATCGACAATACCGCTTCGCAGGGCAATATCATTATGTGAATGGGCCCCTTGGTCCTCGATTCAAACATCTAGCTCGTCGCAAAGTGTGTCAAGGGCCTGATGAGGGACCTTGCGTGATCAAGAACTATATCGGGGAGCATACAAGGGCCAAGCGATGGCTTAGTACCGACCCAGGGAGCCGCTGATGAAGGGTTTCTTGGGTTAAAAAACCCTGAAAGCTTTTGTTCACTGCTTTTTCTTTCGTTTCTTTGGTGATTCGATTCTATATCATAGGATATACACCGTCTGTTTCCATATACCCGACTGTATAGACCCTTGACTTGATGTTAAGAGTTTGAAGCGCATGATTCACGATGGATGATGAATATACAACTACTACATACTATGGAGCTTGGTAGGAGTTCTCCGCTGGATGGAGTTACCGATGGTCGCAATATCTGGATTTCTTGCACAGGGTGAAAGTGAAAGTGGGATGGGACTGGATAGATAACAGAGTCGATGAATCAACGATTACTATTGTTCAATCACTCAGCGTAGACATTAAATGCAGTCCCAAAATTGACGTTCTATCGGTCGGTTCTAATCGTCTACAGCACATTCGATTGATACATGGCCACTTAGCTTGTTACGGACGTTTTCTGCATGTCACATGTGGACTTGCCAGCACTGGGGTCATCATCAAGTGGTCAACGGATATTCCATTTCGTGGAGTCTAGGGTCCAGATTCTGAAGACGCGGGAATCCATGTTAACCACTGGTCGGACGTAACGGATATTTAGAACGTTTTTAACAACAAAATCTGGGAAAGCATACATGGAGGCCTATTTCGTTTGAAAAGGTATGGATCATGGTAATAATATATCCGTTATCGGAAGAATAGATGGGATATTCAGAGAGCTATGGCAAGCAATACCAGAACAGAGAAGATCGGTATAGAGACGGAATGAAACAGTAAAAGTAAGAGGAAATAAATAAGACGGCATGAGCAGCTGAACGATTGACGACGCTAGCAAGACTTCATTGAAAGAACACCCAAGGAACTAGTAGGAAAAGAAAATACAGTAGGAAGGATTTGACCGAAACAAAGCAAAGGTATGTGAGGAACGGTTTGATCAGGAATCCCCAGCGACCCACTCAAAACGCCAAATTGAACAGACTGGAAAGCTAAAAGGAAAGAAGCCAGATAGGAAATAAATGCTCAAAAATAATGTCTGATGCAATAAGATAAAACCCCAAGCGAACGTCACAGCCTGGCGACTTCGAAACGCCGAATCAAATCACACAAAGCATAAAGCCCCAACGAGGCCCGGACTCCCACCCTTTCAAAACTCCCTTCCCAAGTTTCCCGGCAGCAAGTCGTGAAATCACCCGAGTGTAATTCTTTCAGATTCATATCAACTTCAGTGGTTGCCCGATTGAGGTGGTCTAGACAAGAGAAAACAAAAATAAAAAGAGAAGAAAAGCAGAGGAAAAGGGAAAAGAATTTCATAACCCGTCATAGAGAGAGCATGACATATATCAAAAAATTGCAGGTCGGTCGCCTGGCTTACGCTCTCGTGGATCGCTTTCGTAGGCCAAATTCCTGTTCTTGAAGCTCACGGATTAAGCGCATGCTCTCAGCATCTGGCTCACCGTTTGCACCAGTCGCTCGCTCACGCTTCATATACTTGCCAGTCTGGCCAGGGGAGGTCAACGTAGCATGACGGTCAATTTTCTTATCGGCAGTTGGCGTCTTTGCATGTGATGATGACGGACGTGACAACGACTTCCTCGAACCCGACGATGGACCAGGAGTAGTCCTATGTGTGCCAGTGCTTGAAGCGCCAAATGATGGGCGACGTGCATTTGGTGTGTGTGCAGATGACTTCGACGGCTTGACAACATGAACCTCAGGCATATATCGATTTACATGACGCGGTTGACGAGAAGAGTGACGAGCATTAGATGTCGGTGTCTGAAGGATTACGGAATGCTCTCCCTCGGCATCGGCATGGTCTTGGAGGACATCAGTCTCATCTGCCAAGGAAGTTGGCGGAGACACAAGTGAAACCGCCGGCTGAGGCACAGAGGCTGAGTTGATCTCTTTAGCAACGACATCATCTGTCTGAAATGTAGGCGGTGATGCATATGAATTTCGCACCACAGGCGCTTCCTTTTCTGCAACTACCATACCTGGATGTTGCGAAAAGCCTTGATCCGCACGAGATATCTCCGGCTGTGGAATAGCCTCAAAGTCGCCTGCCTTGTATAATTGAGTAGAGGGTCGAGCTCCCTGCGCATCTATTGTGCCACCTTCTCGGTTGAGATGGGCCGACTTTGTCAGGGGAGAGGTGCTTTCTTGCTTCGGTCTCTTCGTTGTGGGATTAAAGCTTTCCTCGTTGAGTCGGGGTCTTTTGGCAGAAGCTGCAGCTCGTGGTTTCGACCGTTCTTGAGCTTTGACAGGATCGATTCGCCCATACTCATCGTGGATACATCGCCGCTATACACAACCAGTTAATAAGTAAAATGTACAACGGCGGTTGTGCAGCGACATACCTTGCTCTTTCGACAATCATCACAAGCCTTGCTACGTCCTTTCTTCCCTGCGTTGATTCCATCAGGGCTGATGTCATTTAGTTTGTTGGTCACTGTATGCGGTGTACCCATGACAGTCGGTCCGTACTTTCCAGCAGTTTCAAATCGGTCCAACCCACCATTTCCATCTTGAAGGCCTGCTTCAGATGCAATTGCTGCCAAAGAGCTGAGTGCGGATGCGGCATCATGTGCCAGGGATGATTGGCTTCCGGCAAAGACACCAACCGACATTTGTTTTGTTGGCGTTGGGTCACTTTGTTCATCCTTATGATGGCATCGGATCCTTCGCTTGCGACAAGCATCACAGGCAACCCGCTTCGGACCTAGTCCGGACCCCCGATGAATGTTTCGAGGCCTGGAAACATTTTCTTCTTTCACCCCGCTATTGGAAGAGACGAGAGGTGTAGGAACAACGATGCTCGGTGGTACCGAAGCACTACTACCAGAAACCGCATTGGATGTCTCACGAGATTGCTCTAGAGGTCTTTGCACAGCTTGTCTCTCTGCGTACATGCGCTGGTTGTCCATATTGCGTTCTGAACGGCGACTAGGTCGACCAGCTGATTTTTTTTCTGTGAGACTGAGTTTGGCATTGCGTTCAACGACACCAGGTCGTGTCCATTGAGCGGCCTTTTCATTCCCACGCTTCCAAGCGACCCAGATTCCGAATTTTCTAACAGTGTCAATCGGATCGCCAACACCTTTCGGGATTGATCGCTTGATTGCATTCCTACTGTCCGCCGTCACCCCTTCAACAAGGTAAGAGCCAGCAATCAAAGCGGTCCGAAGAAGATACTTTGCAAGATCTGGTAGCCCCTCTAACTCTGCTTGCGAGTAGAAGCGCGAATTATGATATGGTGATCCGAAAGGCGTTGTGTTTGTCCGTTCTCCAAATTCGTAGTAGATGGGGTAGTCTCGATGGAAACGATAATTCTCGTCCTGCGCGAAGGCATCCAATACGCTTTGAGGAATAGGGTCCTCTTCAAGATACTTCAGAGCTGCATACCATTGGATTTTCTGAAAGAACGGGTATCGGAATTTCCTTGGAACCTTTGTATCCTTTTCAATCTTGGCAATTTTGATCTGCATCCCATAGTTCAGTCTTGTCAGGAAATTGCCTCCGATAACTAGGCTGTCCTTAGGAGTCCATACGGCATGAATCCAGCCGGAGGGAATTAACATTGTGTCCCCTTCAGAAAGATCAACCCGGTAACATTCCTTAGTTTGGTCCCCAAGGAAGGTAGAGTCTTGGGCAGGTGAATTACACCACTCTTCGTATTTTTTTAAGTGTTTATCCTTAGGCGGTATGAAGAAGAATGTCTTCTTGCCCTTCAGAATGTGATAGTATACTGACGAGCCGCCGAAATCGATGTGGAAATCCGTATAGCAGTCAGCAACGGACATAAGACAGTAGAACTGGACTTTGGGATAATCCCCAACTGCCTTTAAATCTTCCGGCCAAACCGAATCTTGCAAATCAAGATCACGCACGATCTTCGGTCGACGAATCAATTTGCCCAATCTACTCTGCGACACCTCCAGGCTGATGACGTTTCGAACGATCTTAGATCCCGCATTTTCATAATAGTCGGCCCACCTCTGCATCGTCCACCTTTTGTCTTCGCCTTGTTGTGATTTAACGTCTATCACCTCTACCCTTTCTTCAGGCCCATATAGCTCTGCAACCGCTCTGACTGTAAGACCCTGGGGAATGACCATGTCTAATTGATCTTGGCCACAGTCAATCACAGTCTCAACACCTTGACATTCTTCATGTGTTTGTTCCAAGAGCTCGTCGAACATTTCCTGGGTAGAAGCTTCTTGGACGAGTGCATCATAGTCAGGGCTGCTGGTCGAAACGGGACCCCGCGTGTTTAGATGGGCTGGTATTACGATTGGCTCTGTCATGCCATTCCCTCGCTCGAAATATTCAGCTGTGACTAGCTCTGGGCGCATGCGTGGAAAGCTCTCTGGTAGAAAGCGAATTTTGCCTTCTCGGATAGGTTCAATATAGTGGTGCTCCATCGTCTCCGTAGCAGTCTTAACAAGTCCCTGGTTGAGACCAGCATAATCGATAGCAGTACGGGCACGGGAGGACTTGCGAACAAAAGTAGTCTGTCCGTGAACTGGTCGACACCCACGACAAATAAACTTGTCAACCGTCCGAATTTCGCGGTCAGTTTTAAAGCCCGCGCAGACAATGTGGAACCAGCGTTTGCAGCCATCACAGCTGATCCATGTGACATCACCTTGTTCGCCAGTGTCCATCGGTATTCGGACGAGATTACAAGCAGCACAACTTGCCTGGCCAGACTCCTCAGGCTCTGTGTCGTCTTCCACCTTAGAGCTTCGCGATATTTGAGGCTCAATGGTGCCGGGGCCCTGCGCATCATATTGAAAATTGTTGGTCACTGTATTTGTAGAAGATGGCCAATTGCTTTCTACACTATCTCCTTCCTCCTGCCATATAATTGGCTGAAGGCTGGAGGAACTTGTGTTCGGTCGCGTACTATGTATGGCGGGCCGAGAAATAGCAGCCGAACCGTCAGATTGAGATCTCATCCTGGACGGCGGAAAATTACTGTGTCCCGAGGTATTGTAAGCCGATTTATCTTCGCCTAAGTCCATATACGAAGCCCCAAAACCATCCTTAACATGACGTTTTGCTTCATTTCCATATTGACGATATGACTCGTCTATGCTCGCTCGTTTCGAGGAAGGGGCGGTATGATGGAAATTGGACGGCCTCGCAAAGTTCAACAATAGCTCCGCATCTGTTTTCATGCTGTCGAAAGCCGATGGCGGTTTTAAACCTGGTAATGCGCCCGTACGATGCTGAAGGGAGGGAGAAGAATCTTTTTCCGACCGCGGGCGTTTAGCCGGGCGTTCTGCGAAGTCTACCGGCTCTGGAGGGAAAAGTGACATGGTCGATGTGGAATTCCGCGATGGAGGGCGGTAGGATAGAGGTGCAAAAGTAGGACTCGTCGCGAGGGCAATCGTCGCAAGGGTGTCGATTGTCGAACTTGACCTCCCATGGCTGGATCTCTGATGAGACACGCTATCCGCGGCAGCATATCGACTGTGATTATGTGTGAACTGGTTGCGATCGAAGTTCGCAACTCTAGGTGCGCCGCGGTCGACCCACGAAGCTCGAGTATCGCCGGTTGTGCAGGGAGAAATTGGCTCAACGGCGCGTCGCGGAGGGGAGGGAGTGCGATAGCGTGGCGGTCGACTGCCAGAGTGATTTAAAAATGATGTAGTAGTAATCATATTGGGTCTGAGATATAGAATCAAAGGGGAAACGGCGCAGAGGTAAGACCGGAGGTGACAAGGTATTTTGCGGCAAGCGGGCAAAGCGGGGATATAACGACCACACGGGCTATAGAGAGGCCACCGCAGGCAAATGGAGAGTCATTCCTGGCGAAGCGAACGGCGCGCGCTGGATAATGTAATGATATCCGAGGCGGGTTGAGATGATCAGCGTTGAGTAAGAAAAGAGGTTGACGGAGAGTCGCACGGCGGAACACTAGGAGGTTGAGGGGGGAAGTTCAGTCTGCCGACTAGTCGAGAGCGGCGGGAGGATGCAGCACCGAGGACGCACCGCGGGTGCGGCCAAAATTAAGAAAGACACTGCAGGAACAGAAGAGCTCTAAGAGATTAAGGGAAACTAAACGATTGGATAGCGCGCAGTGAAATTAATTGATGGAATGAGTTGTGGGATGGAGAAGATGTGTATTGCGGCGACGGGAGGCCGAGGAGAGCGCGAGTGAAGGCAAAGCGGGCGCGGCGCTGTAAGTCTGCCTCAGCCTTCAGGTCATCCTCATATCTGCCTATCGTTTGCGGCCAAACAGTATTAGATCGCAGTAGATCATTAGCTGGTTAGGTGGGTTGTGTCTACCACTTATACACCAAGAAGTTTACATGGGGTCTCTCCCGCGTAGTTTTATTCTACACCCCTTTTGCCAATCGCTACTGCTACCTAGTACTCGTCTTTTAGAAGTGTAGATCCGTAGTGTTTCTGGTAATGCTTGTCTTCATGAGGAACCAACAAAGTGAGGCTCCTCCGGGGCCCTAGTCCTAATCAGGAAAGGCATCCCCCGTTTCCGACCTCGTGGTCATCACGGTTCAGTGATTCTCTCTTCTTCCTATTCTTCTTCTTTCCTTCTAAAAGAACGATCCCAGTCCCGTTGGGTATCTACTCGACACAATCAATCGCCCTACCAAATTTTCGGACCATCACTGTCCCACCCGAGAATGAGCCGGAAGCTCGCCCCCGAAGCCAATCGGTAAGTTATCACGAACAAATCTGCCCCTCCTGCGTTAATTTGGATCTGCCGGATAGCGTAGCTATCATCTACGCGTTCGGAGCCTCATTTGTGGGCTGTTAAGCTCATTCAATGTACTGACAGCGGACAGGATTCTCTTTGTCAAGAACCTCAAGTATGTTCATCCGTCGTGATAAACTAGTCTACCAGAGCCGAGCGTTGCATGTCTAGCGTCTTTGATGAATTCGAGATAAGGATATATGCCTGGTTTGAGGGTAAAATGCTAATAAAGAGGCTGTTTTTATAGCTACAACGTAACTGCTGAGCAACTATTCGACCTTTTTGGCAAGTTCGGACCTATCAGGTATGCTAGTCGCAAAGGAAGCATAAAAATTTTCCCATCATTCGTCTGTAGACTAATCTTCTGTCTCTAGACAAATACGTCAGGGTATTGCGAACAACTCGAAGGGCACCGCATTTGTAGTATACGAAGACGTTCACGACGCCAAACAGGCATGCGATAAGCTCAATGGATTCAATTTCCAGAACAGATACCTCGTCGGTACGTATTGGATTGGACTACTCTATTTAATCGAGGTGAAGCTTGGCTGACCCTCTACCCCTAGTACTATACCACCAGCCAGAGAAAATGCTCAAGTCGAAAGAGGACTTGGCGGAAAGGCAAGAAAATTTGGAACGTCTTAAACAGCAGCACGGTATAGAATGACGTTACGATTCTTTTTCTTGCTTTTCTCTGTGTACCCTTTGCAGGCATCTGGCTGCGTATTATCATGGGTTGGTTGTGGGGTTTCTGGCGTTTTAGTCTTATGGGTTTCGTGACTCTTATTCATGGATACTAGTATGAGGGTGGCCGACGGGTTGAATGACACTCTCTGGCTATTGACCAGGGAAACGATACAGAATGGGATCTTTCAGGCTGGGTCAATTCCACCATTCCGGCTGGTTATTAGCTACTATCAATATAATCGCTCTCGATCGCCGGCCACTGTCGGCTGTCGCGGTTAACCTATGAGACCAGCTTATTGTCCACCCTTATAAACAGTACACACAATGAAACCTTGGGACCACTAGATGAGGCGATCTACATGCCTAATGCCTAGTGTTTACAAAAGAAGCGGATTTCCGAATCAACTGGCCGTTACATGTGATGTTTACCGCATAGAGCGTAGATCTACTCTGAAGATCATGCGACCCTGCATGGTCGGGCAGAAGGCTCCCCTGACAGATCCCCGTAAGCTTATTTCAGTTAGTCTAGAGGTCCTTAGGGAGGCTTGGACAGTTGGGCAACTGTAAATACGGGTATGTACCCACACCTAATTCGTCAGTCCTGATGGTAGGGCATGTGGCTAGTACTAAATCATATCATGGTTGGAGTTCTTGTCAAGGTGTCACCACCATGGGGACACTCCGGTACCTGTACTAGTAGTATCAAAGGTGATAATAGCCATTACCCCAATACTTTGTACAAGGCATTACCTTTCACACTATGCACAAGTCAAACTTGGTCCGTGATCTATTATCATTGCATGAAACACGTTGGGAGAGATTTGTCTTCCTATTGGAGTTGCAACGTGAATCAAGTCATCAATCGGGATCATGAGAGAAGATAGAAGAGAACAAAAGCCTGCAAAAAAAAAAAGTTGACTATGCAATTCTTGGAGAGCTGGGGCTGTTTCTGCCCGTTAATTAAGGCATTAGTATTTCCCAAGGAGGTTAGTCCTTGTACCGCCCCACCAGTCATTTTTGTCAAGATTTTCTCAACCGAACAGCGCTCTCTCAAACAATCTCTTCGAGCATACAAATCTGCAAGACGGCAGTGATCCTTTGCGTGAGCCACTCCTCCGTGCGAAGCCAGTACCCTTTACGAAATCATGTCTGGAGAACCTAATGCCGGTGAGTACGAGATTTGCTCTCTGTTGTATCTGGACTCGTCCTCAGTTGAGCGCTTTCCAATCATGAGCTAATGTCTCTATTCCTTTGTAGCTTGGCCCCTGGCTGATGAGAGCCTCACCCAGAACCTTCTGGACCTTGTACAGCAGGCTTCTCACTACCGCCAGCTGAAGAAGGGAGCAAACGAAGCAACCAAGACTCTCAATCGTGGTACTTCTGAAATCGTCATCCTCGCTGCAGACACCAATCCTCTCGCTATCCTTTTGCACATCCCCCTTCTCTGTGAAGACAAGAATACCCCGTATGTCTTCGTGCCCAGCAAGCTTGCTCTGGGCCGGGCGACCGGTGTCTCTCGTCCGGTGATCGCGGCTAGCATCACCACCAACGAGGCTAGCGATCTCATGGGACAGATCCGGACTATCAAGGACAAGGTTGAGAGGCTCATGATCTAAGACATGGTTTGGTTGAATGGATGAGATCTGGGATATCGCAGCCGTGTCATTCCTTGCTCCGGTGGGTTCGCATTTAGATGAAAGACACAACGGAAATGGAGCATTCTCGATACTTCCCTTATCCGGGAGACGCTATCTAAGATAATAATGGTTTCTCCATTGAATATATATTGGGATCATTCATCAAAGATAGACCCACATATCCACCTCAATTCACAACCTATTAGATATAATCACAAATTTACTAGGGGTTTAGAAGGCAGGCAAATAAGTATCATAAATAATAGTCGGAAACTTGTATGAAGGAGTTTGTCTGCTAGCCGCTTTGTAGAGTATTGAAGGGATCAATGCGAAACAGATTAACTATGAGCCTATCCATCAAGGGTCTAGTGAGTCTCCTCAATCCGAAAATACTAGCAGTTTAGTTGCCTTTGACTAACCCAAAAGTTGGGAACTAGTGGACAGCTCCGCTTACGGGCGGGGGCGGTGTCTCGTCCTGGCACCGCCGCTTCTCCCGCGATGTTTCTGTTCCCCATTCTCAGATAACTGTAAAAACCCACCTGGCTGGCTCAGGCTCCTTGCTGGTAAAGGAGCACTTGTCCTGCGGTTGACGTTCACACATGTCAAGTACACCTGGTTTCACAGCGATACTCGTATGTATGTGCGTTAAACAGGCTTCCCCCATTGCATAGGGAGCCTTCTTTTACATGAGCGAAGGACTTCGTATCACTCACACTAGCCGCCTTATTTTGAGCCTCCTCAAACTTATTAGCCCTCATTCCAGTGATTTTACTCAACGTATTTCTCGTTAAAGATAGAGATAGGCCGGCCATGCCTGTCTCAACGTTTACTTCGGTAGCCAGTATGGCGATTACTATTACAGGTTTCATCAGCAGCGTTTCAGCTGGCGACTTGGACTTTGTTTCTAGCACTCTCGTCACACCAATGCCGACTCCGACTTCTCAAACTATCCCTTTTTCTCTGGCTGGCCCAGATCCAAGCGGAGATAGTGGTGACACTGGAGAATGCAGGCTGTTAGGTCCTTTCTCTCTTCTGGTGCAAGTCGCCCTCGGAGCGTTAGCACTTTTATCCCTTGTCTATAAGAGATGGAGGGAAAGACCACAACGACCTTTAAAAGTGTGGGCGTTCGATGTTTCTAAGCAGGTCTTTGGATCAGCTATGCTACATCTGGCGAATCTGCTCATGTCCATGTTCTCGGCCGGTCAGTTAGAAATTACGAGCGAGTATAAACCAAACCCATGCTCTTTCTACATACTGAACCTAGGCATTGATGTGAGTTCCTCGGTTTTGTATATCTGTATCTCCTTGGTGGTTGGCTAATACTAGTCGCAGACTACTCTCGGGATACCGATTCTCATTTTCATCCTCCACATTTTGAACCGCCTGGCTCTTTACACACCTCTTGCAGATCCCCCAGACTCTATCAAGTCCGGGCACTACGGTCGTCCGCCACGAGCAACTTGGTGGTTCAAACAATCTATGATATACTTTGTGGGACTTTTAGGAATGAAGATATGCGTCTTCTTCCTTATTCAATTGTTGCCGTTTATCGTCCAGGTGGGCGACTGGGCTTTGCGATGGACCGAGGGTAACACAGCCGTTCAAATCATCTTTGTGATGTTGCTTTTCCCGGTAATCATGAATGCGATTCAATATTACATCATCGATATATTCATCAAGAAGCCGTCGCATGAAATGCTAGAAGAGAGTGAGGTTGATGATGTACTGGATGACAGGCACGATCACCATCATGCCTTGTTGGCCGGGCTGGAAGAGGAAGTCGCATCAGAATCAGAAGATGACTCTGCTGGGAAGGGCACCAGGAAAGTATTCGTGAGCCCTCCCCAGAAGGATGTCGGGCGCCTATATGACTCTGCTGAGTACCATCCAACAAGCGAACTGGAGCATAGTTCTGCATCATCAACATCTGCTAGAGCTCGCGCGGGATATATTGAAAATGATCAGACGTTGTCATCGGCAGAGTTTGAAACACAACAAAGTGATCATGACTAGCCTATGCTATGAACGGGTGTTTAAGTCGGCGTTAATGATCGGTAGTTGTCATGGTGGTAGATGGTTCGGTTCCATTGGTATAAGTGATTGTGATTTGTTTTATTTTTTTCCCTCTTCTCCTTTGTCCATATTGCCTGTTTTTTTTCTTTAAAAAAAAAAAAAATAAAAAAAAAAGTCTAGGGAAATTCGCGCTGAGTTGGTAGGTTTTCATAAGCTATAGGCTTCTATGTTCGGTCTAAGTATCTATTCATGCCCGTTCGTTACTTGCCGTAGATGTCAAACGTCCTTGCCTGAAGACCGCAATACCCTAAGGCACCTTTTCTTACCGCAGAACCCACCGCCCACTTCTGCCGGATGAATGAAGAAAATTATTGTCGAAACTCCACCATTGTCGGCACCAACTTACTCTTCGATTCTGCTTCTTGCTTTCTGTTCTTTCCATTGAAATCCCTTTTTTTATTCATCCTACCTTGTAATAGGCCCTATACATCTTTGTAAATCCCAAAAGATCAAGCGAGTTACATAATGCCTAAAATCAATGTCAAGCAAAAAGCCCGCCAGAAATTCAAGCCGACTTCACGTTCGCCGTTCGAGAATGCTAGGGCTACTCAAGAAGACAGCGACGTGGAAATGAACAACAACATGAGCGACAGCTCTGATGATATTCCTGAAAAAGACGAAGCGGAGAAGAAATTGGAAAAGCTGCTATTTGGCGACGATGAGGGTTTTCAAGGCGCGTTAAAGAACCAAAAGGATCGCAGCCTCATGGCTTTATCGCAAGAAAGCGACGATGAAGGCTCTGACGCAGATCATGGGGAGAATAGTGGTGAAGATCAAGGACTTGATGGCATTGCTGATGCTGATGTATGTCTATCACCCCTTTCCTCCTTTCTCTCTTGTAAAAGAAACAAGGAAAAACTGTCAAATCGTTGGTCGCGCTAATATGTTTCCTTTGTAGCTTTTTTTCCTTGATTCTGGAGCTGGGCCCGTTTCCACTGACCTTGCCGAATCCCCGGAAACACCTTCCGAAGCTGAGGAAGAAGATCTGGAAACCCCGGCTGTATGGCATGATAGCGACGATGAACTCCTAGCCATCTCCCTAGCCAGCCAGCAGAGGTTGAGAAAGCTACGTGTCGCCGAGTCTGAGGACGTGATTAGTGGCAATGAGTATATTCGACGACTTCGCCGCCATTATCAGCAGCTGCATCCTACACCGGAATGGGCGATTCCGGGACAACAACAGAGCCGTGGCGATTCTGACTCTGAACACGCGGACGCCATGGATACAGATGATGAAGAGCAGGCATATGCGCAGCCTTTGGCCAAGCTACTTCAAGGTGCCACTGACCTTACCAAGCTCGAGGATGCAGGTCCAGGTGGAAAGAGAAAGCTAAGACAGGAGGTTATCGACATTCAAAGACTGAAGGATGTCGGGGGGGATCAGCCAGTAAGTGTGATGTTTGTCCAACTGTCGGACGATGGAAATAGCTAATCCTGCCTTCTAGTCATCGGTCGATTCGCTTTCTTTCCATCCCCATTATCCATTGCTATTGTCCTCGGGACCTGCGGCCACTCTATTCTTACATCATATCGCACCCTCCGCGGCCGCCCCTAACCCTCTTCTTACGTCATTTCATATTCGCCGTACACCTATTCACACATCTGCTTTCGCTCCCCCAATCGGTAACAAGATATTTGCTTCCGGTCGTCGGCGGTACTTCCATATATGGGACCTTGACACAGGAAAGGTTGACAAGGTAAATGGCTCCGCCGACAGAAAAGAGGAACAGAAGTCCATGGAAAGATTTAAGCTCTCTCCTTGCGGACGGTACGTGGGGCTTGTCGGCACGTCGCGTAAGGGCGGTGGTCTCATCAACGTTCTAAATTCGGGTACGGCGCAATGGATTGCACAAGTTCGCGTGGATGGTCAAGGAGGCGTTGCGGACTTTGCCTGGTGGGGTGATGGTGAAGGCATGACAGTCGTCAGTAAGAACGGTGAAGTATCCGAATGGGATGGAAGTTTGAATCAAGTGGTGGCCCGCTGGATGGATGCCGGTGCGGTAGGCACGACAGTCCTTGCTCTTGGGGGACGTTCCGGACGGACACAGTTGGGAGGCGACCGTTGGATTGCAATCGGTAGCTCTAGTGGGGTGGTTAACGTCTATGATCGTCGTGAATGGGCTGCAGCATATGCAGCACAATCTTCTTCGGCAGATAATAACACTCCAGCTATTCCACGCAACCCTGAACCCGTACGTGCGCTTGACCAGCTGACGACGCCGATCAGCCACCTGGTGTTTGCTCCAGATGGTCAGTTCTTTGTAATGGCTAGTCGCTGGAAGCGCGATGCCCTGAGAATAGGTATGTCAAGCTTATTTTGCTTCCCTCCCTTCCGTTTTTAGTAAGTTAACGCATCCTAACCATTACAGTTCATCTTCCATCCTGCACTGTATACCGTAACTGGCCCACGTCTAACACCCCTCTTGGGCGTATTTCCTCGGTCGCTATCTCGCCCAATTCAGGACAGTTGGCCGTCGGCAACGAGCAGGGGCGCATTAGGCTTTGGGAAATCCGGGGATAGGCGCAATGATGAGTGAGGCAGAAGATCGTGCATCATGTATATCTGTAAATGGAATACATTTGGATAACGAATTTAGTCCATTAGGTTTCTTTGTCATTGCTCTTTAAGTTCAAAATATAGTTTTGTCTGTCTCAGTCGCCCGACCATCTATACCTGGTTGCCCTCTAGACCCGTTGTCTTTAACTATTCATCGATGAGGGTGTAATAGAATACAGCACCAGGGCCAATCTGCTTCAGAAGTCAACGCTCCCTCCTACAATCCCGTGTATAGTTAGCCTGCATTGCCCACCACTGTAGCGCTGTGTATACTTGCGTAAAGTTAATTCAACCGGCGGCCTTCCATTAGTCCTCGAACTAATCATTATGGAAGAGGGGGCAAAATTAGAATGAAGCTCACACTGGGCCCCACGCTGTGAATGGGCTACTACTACTCTGCTGGGTTTTACAAGAGCTCTAATGGTGGGTACTGAAGTTCTTACTGCGGTCCGTGGTGTGGCCCGCTGTTATTGTAGTATGGGTGCCACCGACAGGGAGACTGAGAGGAGTCGCAGTAGGAGTCATGGATGCAGCGGAAAGGGACAGTGGATGTGGACGTAACGGTGATAGTAGGTAATAACGATAGAAGAGGTAGCGGTAGTGGGTGCAGCTTAGCTATTACTAGAGTTTTCATAAAGATTTCTCTTTGCCCATGGTAGGTGGTAAGGGTTGAATTAATCCTAGTATAAAAGCTGCTAGTGTCATTTCGTGACACTGGGAGACTCTGCTGCCTCCTGGACATAAATTGACTAGTATTATGATCAGAAGTACTGCTAGCTTCTCTCGTTACAATGGGGCGATGCCAGATGAGAGTGATTTAGTCATTCAATTCAATCTTGACCCAACCACTGAGCCCCAGATGCCAAAATGTTTTCCAGGTAGGGTAACCGAGTAAACCAAGGCATATTTGAGGGGGGGCATTGCAGCTGTTCAAGGGCGTTATACTATCCTGATGGTGAGCAGGACCACTGGCCGTTTCTAGTGGAAATGCCTCCGTGCTAATAGCGGACGCTATTGCACGTCTTAGCGCCCAATATGTGAATCCCAACGCTAACTCAAGCGTGGCTAGATTCTTGCTGAGTCTTGGAAGTATTCCAGCTAAGTTTGATGGATTCGATGTCCAAGCACAAGACTGTTTTCGTCCCAGAACCGTAGTTTGTTGAACGTAAGTTAATTCCCATATGCAAATGTGTATAATCAAATAGCTATCTTTTGCCTTTTTTATTATACTCGCCTTTCCCGTATAAAACCCCCATCGGTCTATGTTGTAAACCGAGTCATGTCCTCGTGTTTATATGACATCCCCTCGGAGAGAAAAAAGAAATAAGAACAAGAAAGTGAAGATGCATCTTCAATGATTAACGCCCGAAGTTAGATCAAGTCGACAACACTCACATATTAGATCAGACTCTGCATATCAGCCATATCCCGGATACCGCAGCTGATGCCTGCCTTGACCCGCTTCAAAGTCAATGCAGCAATAAGAGCTGCTCCAACACCAGAGCCGTCTTCAGCAGCCATGATGACCACCTTGTCCTTCTCATTAGGTGCCCAGTCCAAGATCTCGCGCAGAGCCTGTGCTCCACGGGCCTTGAAGTGGGGATATTTCGTAAAGACAGAGCCATCTGCGCCTACATGGCAAGACTCAATGTTCTTCTTCTTGCAGATGGCGGCCACACCACATGCCGACAGGCGAGCTGCACGAGTGCCGATCAACTCCGCCAAGCGACGGATCATTTCCAGCTCCTGCTGGGTGGCCTTGATGTTCAGCTTGCGTTCCATCAGCTCCTCGGTTTCCTGCAAGTTCTCGTACGGATCCTCCTCAATGGCTGCAAGGAAGGACGCGTCCAGCAGATAAGGTTTCCGGAGCTGGGAGGTGTCTTGACCCTGGAAAATCAGACCAGGCCTCGTCTCCAACAGATCCAGGAGAGCCAGACGGAATATCTCTCCCAGATAAAGACCTGCAGTCATCTTCTCGAAAGCTTGCTGTCCTGGGCGAGGAGAGTCGCGGTCGATGATGATGTCGTACTTGGTGAGGGGCAGAACAACGTGCTCATTGTCAAAAGCACCGTACTCGCAGTTGATGGCCACAGGCATGTCTGGGGGCAGATTCTTGTGTGCAAGCTTGGGAACCGAGCCGCAGTTTTCCATATAGGCGGCGTTGACACCAGTGCCGAAAATACAGCCAATCTTCATGTCTGAGTCGGTGTAAGAAGAAGCGATCAGGGTGCCAGTAGTGTCATTAATCAAAGCAGCAACCTTAATAGGAAGGCCCTGGACTAGAGTTAGTCTTCCAGTTCTGGCTCAATTTCTAGAAACGTACTCTTTTCTTGAGAATTGCCTCCAATGGGGGCACAACATCATGGCCCTCTACTCCGTCAATGTCGAATCCCTTGGTCCACCGCTGGAGAACACCATGATCAATGTATTCCTGTGTGGCAGGATAGGAGAAGGTGAAGCCCAATGGCAGTTTAGATAATTTCTCATTCTCGTGGTGGGATTCAATGAACTGCTGCAAACAGTCGGCGATGTATTCCCACAGCTCCTCCGCGGTACCCGTCTTCAACTCCTCCGGCATACGGTACTTGGACTGGGTTATGTCGAAAGCACCCTTCTCTTCTGTCAAGGTGATCTCACAAACACGCAGGTTGGTGCCACCCATGTCCAAAGCGAGGAAGGTTCCCTGCTCGTCGCCATCAGGGAATCCCATGACCCAAGTCACATTCATGGGCTGCAGAAATGAGTTAGTCTTTGAGTTATGAAGGGTAAGGTGAAATATCCAGATAAGAACTTACAATGTTACCCCCCTCGACGCTTAGACCTAATCCGCTATCGATCAGCCTTCAACCTCCATCAGCCGAACGGACCAGTTGAAACCCACCCTTTTCGAGCTCCTTCACAAAATGGTCCGCAATCTGCTTAAGTTTGGCGCCGTCAACGGTAAAAACGTCCTCGAATTGCTTAATCTGTTCCAACAAGTTCTGGGGGAGCTCATGCATCGATCCTATAGACGGGATGCCGATTAGAAGCCGAATCGGTAAACCCGTGGCGGGGCATTGCTGATAACAAACTCACCCTTGCGGGATGGGGGACGTTTGGGGCCAATTCCGACCATTGTGATGATGTTCGTTGAGAGATCAAGGGGAAGCTAATAAAATGTGGTTGGTAAAAGGGAAGCGCGAGATAAATGGAAGGTTAATGGGGGAGAGAAGTGAGAGAGGGAGTTGTTCGGGAAGGTTAAAGAGTTGAATGATATCAGCGCTGGGCGTGGGGCAGCAGTTGACCCTAAAATACGCATCACCAAGAAAATTTAAGACCAGAGCCCCGCAAGAGATGAAATCACGGCCGGGCCATCAACTCACCGGTCCTTGTTTGGGTATTGTTTCTCTCCAATTTGACTAAGATAAATTTAGTTTTATTCTAACCCCCCGGTCCCCTTTTTATTCGCGTTGACCTTCTCATTCATGGTGTAAAGGGAGAAACCCAATGCCACACAACGTCCTGCACCATGGTAGATACCCCGCGGGTATTCAAACTCTCCGCATTTCACCTCCAAAGATCGGTGAAGTCCAATTCCGTGACGTATCATTTGACAGGTTAGGGCTACAAGAGGTTATTGGGTACGAAGAACATGTTCTCATAGTAGAGAAAATAAGTCCAATTTAATACCTCTGTTAAATTAATTCCCTTCATTTTCACCCTAAAAATAATAATAATGATAGTAATGGCAATAATAATAACAATGACATGAATAATAAAGGAACCACGGGTCAATGAATCTCTCTCTCTCTCTCTCTCTCTCTCTCTCTCTCTTCTTTCCTTCCTTTATCCTTTTTTTCTTTTCTCAGGAAAAGGTAGAAAACTACAAGATCAAATCAAAACAAAAAGGACCCGTCAGAAAGTTTAAACCCCCAAGCCACAAAATAAATAAATATTACCACAACGCCATCCCACTCGAGCCACCAATGCATATGGTCATATGATTCTACGTCTAAATGGCAGATGGCTTCTTCTTCTCTCGCGCTAAATGGGGAAATACATGTGCCAGGCCTTCGTAACTCCGTCGCCGCTCCTCGGTTAGAGCCTTCTTCTCTAAGCCATTACTATGCTGGTCTAGATTCTGCCGCACTCGTTGTTGGTAGGCATCCGAGATACCTAAAGTGCGGTCAACCTCTTTGGTAAGGCGCTCTATTTCATCTCGCAGACGCTCATCTCTTGTCTGCGAAGGAGTCACTTCCGTATTTCGGGCTTCCTTCCCTGGATTCGTACTCTCCCAGAGCAATTCCAGTTCCTGTTCCCATCCCAACGCTCGGGCGAATTTCCTCACCCCAGCATCACAGTCACCTAGAAGAAGGACGTCGTCCGGTCGAGAGCCCATTCCACCAACGCGCTCCATGTTAATGAGCACGCGGGGTGCCCCATCCCGACAAAATGCTGGTAGGCTAGCGAAAGGCTGCACGGAGAGACTAGTGCCCATTACAATGCAAAGGTCCGCCTGCTCTGGAAGCGTCCGGTTAAGGAAGAATTCCTCCGGTAATGCTTCGCCGAAGAAAACAATATCCGGTTTCACAAGCCCATTGCATTGGGAGCACCGAGGTACCTCACCCTCATTAATGGACCGCTTCATCAGTTGTTCGGGATATTCAGCCTTGCAGTCGATGCAGTGCTGGTTTGCAAAGCTTCCATGTGCCTCAACGATCATTTCTCCAGGCACACCTGCCAGGCGCTCGAGACAGTCAATATTCTGTGTGAAATGCTTCATCAAAAGACCCTTGTCGTAGAGCAATTTGACAAAGGAGTGCGCAATAGTGGGTCGATATCGGCCGGGGGCCAGCTCCCGCGCCAATGCGTAGAATGGCCGCGGATTCTCCCTGAAAAAGCTAATGTCAAACACATCTTCAGGATCCGTCAGGTCAAGATGGGCCAGATTAGCATAGATTCCCGTTTCTGGGGAACGAAAATCGGGAATGCCCGCCGAGGTGCTAATCCCAGCGCCCACCTATAGTAGACCTTGTCAGTCGGAATAGTGGGGGGAAGGGAAAATTCGGGGAGGGATACCATCACCACAATTTGGCAGTCATCCTTTGCTTTGATATATTTAGCAACCGCCTCAAGGGTCCGAGCTTCTAGCGCGGACGGAGGGGTATCTTCATCTACCAAGGTCGATGGTTCGTTGCCCATGGTGCGAGGCAATCGGCCGGATTTGGGCCTGGCGGGTTGATGTCGAGGTCTGCGATGGCGCCCAATGGTGACGAAGAAATTCTGTAGAGAAGTGGACAAGTCAGAAGAGGCTGAGTAAAGCCGGGGCTTTGTGAAATCACTAATGGCCAAGGTTGATGATTTCCATTTAACCTGGCGGAAAGAAAATTGTATGGGGAAATAATCATGAATGACGTCGAATCGACGGTTTACCCGATCGGGTCTTCTCTATTTATGCCTGAGGCATGAAGAACCTTTCACTGACTTTGACTGTTTGGTCTTAATGCAACCAAGCTCCTTTCATTCACCGCCTTCCTCTCCCATCATTTCAACAACATGCCAGGTTAACCCCCATTTCACTCCCAATTCCCCTGTTCCCTTTGGTCAATCGCTCGCTCACAACTGTCGTAGTGGACAATGCCTGAAGCTAATGTCGGCGAGGTCAATGGACATGCGGTGGCCACGCCTCCTTCTCTAGACTCTAGCAAACCTCATGCGGGCTCCTCGTCCGACATCTTCAATGCCAGCTCTCTCGCAGAAATTAAGGCTACTTTATCGCACCTTCACGAACAGGAGACGTCAGTCACAGCCCGACTAGATGCCCTCGTCGCCTCTCAGAAGGATTTTTCACGTGAACTAGGTCGATTGGATTTGCTCCGTGCGCATCTCGGCTCCCAAACAACCACCACTCGATCCATCAGCCATGGCATGCTCTCAGAGGCCGCGGCCACCGCAGAGAGAATCTCAAGCGCAGTCCGCCGCCTGGATTTGGAACAATCTCGGGTAAAATCTACTTTAGAAGTGGTGGAACAGGTTTCTGAACTTAAGGCCTGTGTGCTGGGAGTCGCGGGTTCCATGGGTGCCCCACAGGATTGGGAAACAGCAGCCAGTTATCTGAGTCGGGCATCCAAAGTCCCACCAGAAGTTGTTCATGGAGCTTTCGCGGCTGAGATGGTACCTACGGCGGAAGTTCCGGACCCGCCAAATGTAACCTTGGATAATGCTGCTGAATCCCTCTGTGGCTTGTTTTTGCGCGAATTCGACAGGGCCGTCAAGGAGAACAACGGTGCCAAGATCACGCGGTTTTTCAAGCTATTTCCTCTTATCGGCCGCTCGGATGTTGGCCTTGACGTTTACGGGCGTTACGTATGCCAGGGTGTGGCGTCACGAGCGCGATCCAACCTCAATGCTGGGGCAGGAACTCAAAGCAAGGATGGCTTCTTCTACGCAAATGTTCTGACCAAATTGTTTGAACATATCGCTCAAATTGTTGATGGACATGGGGGACTCGTGGAGCGACATTACGGTCCGAGAAAGATGAACCGAGTTATTGAGCGACTACAGCTTGAGGCAGACGTCCAAGGCGGTATTATTCTCGATACCTGGGGTGATGAGAGACATGTAGACCGCAAGCTGACTGACATCAAATCATATGCGTTTACTTTCCTAGTACAAAGCTTTCTACCCCCTCAGCGCAGTGCCACACCGCGGTCGAACTCCCCTGCAAATCGGGATGGGGCTTCAACGGCTGAGGATGAGGGTGTTGACATGAAAGAGATCGACGGAATACTGAATGAGATGGCAGTTATGCTAGGCCGTTGGTCACTATATTGCCGATTCTTGGCGGAAACATGCAATGTGGGTCATAAGTAAGCCTTCATAGTTTTTGCCAGCTAATGTTCATAGACTCCGGGTGAAGGCGACAAGTTGTATACGCCGCCTCAATTCCTGCAGCAATCCACGTTATCGAAAAAGGTCAATGACCGACTTATTTCTCCATTTAACGCCATGACCACCTTCTTCTTCCGTCGGACAGTTGAGAAGGCATTCCAGCTGGATGAACAGCCCACTGGTCTGACATTAAACCCGCAGAGGCCACTGAAGGCTGACCCGCCATATATCACCTCGGCCGTCGATGACATCATGTACATAGTCAACAAGGTCCTACAGCAATCACTTGCAACGTCGCAAATCACGGTAGTTACTAATGTAGTGCCGACTCTGTCTCGAGTGCTAGGGTCAGATTTCATTGGAATGACACAACGGAAAATGCGGGACGAATGCTATCCGAGAGCATCAGTACAAGGAGCTCAACCTCCAGAGCATCTCATAGTCTCTTTTCTAGTCTTGGTCAATAATCTGGATGTAGCCGTTGATTACATCCGACGCATCGTCCAGACGCATACCGAAACCAGGAAGACTATAACTGGTCCCGACGGGCACACTGAAGAGACGGACCAATTACATTCCCTCTTTCCTATGACTGCAGATGCCAAGCTCGCAGCGCAGACGTTGCAAGCCCTATCATCAACTTTTGAGTCTAAGGTCAACGACCTTCTGTCCGATGGCATTCAAGTCGTGTTCAACAACGTCATCAAGCATCGTCTGCGGCCCATTTTAGCAGACGCATTCCGAGATATTGATTATCAACCCGGAGATGACAATGACCCCACCAGCACTTCGTACCATGAGTACGACCGCGACGAGGATGCGGATGATAAAGCCAGCCGTGCGGAACTTGTCCGTCCGCGTTTTGCGGTTAGTTGGGCTGAACTCCTTGTCCCAATATCTCGTATACTTACCGCGTCTGCCTTTGACCGCCTATTAACTATCACGGTGGCTTATCTCTCCCGACTTTTGGAGAAGCGACTCTGGTCGTATCAAGGTCGTGTCAACGCACTAGGCGCCACACGACTCGAACGAGACATCTCGGGAATTGCTAGCGCAGCAGTGGATGTCGGCGGCACGCACGGGGCACCAGGAAGATACCGCCACCGGGAGGCATTTGCTCGCTGCATGCAAATGACGTTAATAATGGGCATGGATGACGACGAATGGGAGGATATATTACGTGGAGGCGAGACAGCCGAAGTAGTCGAGAAGCTGACCCGAGAAGAACAGGCAAGGATTCGAGGAATGGTGAGACGACAGGGCACTCAATACTAGTTTAGTGGTAAGCTAACTGGCGTCACTTTACCAACGAGTATATTAATATTGTATATTTCTCAAACATGTTTAAGCACCACAAATAACTTTCACACTGTTATGGAGCAAGAAAATATTTGTTCTTCTTTTTCCCTCTTCCTTTTCTTATATCTTCTGGTATTCTGCTACATTATCATATATTGATGCATAGTAGTTGAAAAAATATAAGGAAGAATGCTATCGAACCATCCAAGGATTATCTCTGCCGAAAACCCCATCTAGGCTTCCCTATTCACCTACTTCTTTGTTCATCATTTCTTTGTCTGCTAGACCAAACCGGACACGCTTTCCAAAGAAGCAATAGAGTGAATAATTGGGCAGCTATGTTCAACAGCAGTAGTAGTACTGGACGGTTGTTCATGAACAGACAGTCAACCCATTAGATTAGGGTTAGGGGCTTATCACGGGTAAGAGATAAAGATTGTCGATCGACGTACTAACTTAATTTAAGGGTTGAATAGATAGATAATTAATGTCATTAAATAACATTTTACTGACAAATTTATGCATGTGGTATCCGGAAAGATAAAAATTCCCCAAGCAAGCTCTAATTATATACAGATGGAGTCACACGCTCATATCAACCCTAAACGCCAGTTCCAACCAACCCCAAACCACAGGTATCAAATACAAGAGAGAATTCTGGCTCAGCCAGAATGGTTAAAGCAAAGAAACGCACGCTGGATATCACGGAAAACACAAAATCATAGAATGGAACAGATCCAGAGTCTTGGCACATTATTGTGCTTTCTCATCGTCCTCGACACTAGGCGGTATTGATCCCTCATGAGCGGGATGTCGTTCGGCAACTTGACGTGGGGCAGGTGCCATTGCTGGCGCAGGCGCCGGTGCAATCTTGATTTCCTGGATGCCGGAGTCGCCTTCGCTGCAACCGCGACTGTCAATGCCAATGGGAGTATGGCCATCAAGCATCATTTCACTGTGTTCCCCAATGCCGTATCGAGCGGCAGCGGGGATATGGTGGCCATCTTCGAGCTGGTCATGTTTCTGAGGGGTCCATGCAAGATAGTCACGACGGACTTCGACGTAGTCATAGGCGAACTCGCCCAGCTGGTCGTCGTCCATACCGAGCAATTCGGCTTCCTCAGAAGCGCGCAGCTTCAGGCCGGGGATTGCGTTGATGGCGTAGGCAATGATGGCAGATACGACGAAAGAATAGGCGGCTGAGGCGACAATGAAAGCGATTTGAATGTAGAGCTGCTTGTAGTTGTGGATCAGCCATCCACCCATTCGGCTACCAGTATTGACTCCGTCCAGCCCTACGATCGCATCGTCGGCGAAAAGCGCGTTGAAGATAAGACCGACAATACCCGCGATACCGTGCTCGGCTAACACATCCATGGAATCGTCGATACGAATCCAGTATTTCACTATAGATCCAGTCAGTTTATTGTTGTTTGGTTGAAGCATCACAAACGGAACTTACCCTTTGTAGAGTAGTTGCAAACAATACCAGTGACTATACCCAGAATCACACTAGCCCAAGGGGTAATGAAGCCTGATGCCGGGGTAGCTGCAACCAGACCGGAGATGGTACCAGAACACCAACCAACCATAGACCATTTCCTCGCTAAGCGCCAATCGAGAAGTACCCAGCTAATGGCCCCAAAAGCCGCAGTCAGGTTGGTATTCCAGCACGCCATGGTGGCACGAAGATTAGCTCCAAAGGCTGAACCACCATTGAATCCAAGCCATCCAAACCACAAGAAAACGGTTCCGAGGAGAATGAGAGAAACATTGTGAGGGCGGAAGTTCAACATCATACGCTCCTGGCGACGGCCAAGCACCATTGAATAGGCGAGTGCGGAAAAACCGGAGCCAATCTCGACTGGACCACCACCAGCGTAATCCAACACACCATAGTTCATTGCCCAGCCATTCACATTCCACACCCAGCAAGCCAAGGGACAGTACACAATTGTAGCCCAGACGAACACAAACACCATAGCCGGGAGCAAGCGTCCACGTTCGGCAACAGCTCCCATGATAATCGCAGCAGTGACACCACAGAATTGCATCTAATAAACACTCGAAGTTAGTCATCTTCACCTATGTGTGTAGGCCCAGAAACCAACCTGATAAAAGGCATAGAGGAGATTGGGCACAAGAACGGAACCGGGACTTGGATCGGCCAACGTCTTCATCAAGCCGAAGTTACGAAGATTCCCGATGTATCCGTTGGTGGCCGTAGGCGAGAATGCAAGCGAATAGCCCCAGAAATACCACTGGAACGTGACGACAGAGAAAGAAGCCATGCAGGCCCAAATCATACTCAGGGCTGATTTACGGCGAGCAAGACCGGAATAGAGGAAACCGAGACCGGGAATCATGACCATGACCATGGCCGAAGCCACGATAATGTACGCTTGATCACCGGATTGAAACCACTTGTTTACATTCTCCACCCCTGGCAAGATAGTTAGTCTCAACGAACAAGAAAAAAGCCGGATAGTCGTTGTTTAGAACATACTGGAGTCGCCACCCAGCTCATTGGTCGCCAGCGAGTCATAGTTAGATGGGGCTCCAGTCCAGTTGTAAGACGCATAGTCAGGGGCGAAAGGCGCCTTGATGTCCGACATGTTATATACAAAGTATTTGCAGTTCTGTATGAAATCTCGGGTTCAGGCACGCGGTGCCTATTATTTCTCGTAGCAGCACCACCGCCTGGGAGCTGAAAGACGGCGGATGGTTGGTGGTGATGGGAAAGAGACAGTAATACTAAAAAGCTTCGGTTGTGTGAGGACGAGGGAAGAAGCAGGGGGGCTCTTTTGTTGTGTCCGTCAGTCGAGTGTCTCACCCTTCTCTCTCGGGAGGAATGCAGGACAGAATGGAAAAGAGAGAGAGGAACTCCGCCAGGTTGTGTATGTGTGTGGAGAAAAAAACCGCCACGGGGGCGGAGATGTTGTAGTATATAAAAGCAGGCCGAGAGTTCTGGAAAAGATACGGCCGGTGGGTCGGCAAGTGGACGGAACGAATTTGCGTTTGCAAATCTGAACGAGTCAAATGAAAGATAAGTCCAGGCCTACAGTGAGCAGGTCAACACTAGGGCGCGATAATTGATCGGCACGGATTCCAAGGCCAAGGGTAAGTGGGGACAGTTGGAAAAAGAAAATGGACCTTTTATTAGTTATGCCCAATCAATCCATCAGTCAGTCATTTACATAAGACTTTGTTGGAAACTCTGTTGAGACGGCGTTGATAAGTTGGAGGATGTAGATAGATCGTAGTGTTTATATGAGAACGCGGTCAATCAGAAGAGATAGGACAGGACAAAAGAAAAGAGAAAGAAAAGAAAGAAAGAAAAAGGATCATCGAGCAACCTAGCGAGGGAGGCGCGGATAAAGGGAAAAAGCAAGGTAAACGATAAATTGGGTGGGAAAAAAAATAATAATAAAATAAAAATAAAAATGCCAAATAGTCAGAGATAACAAGATGTGAGAAATCGAATGGAATAAAATAAACTCAAGCTTACAGTCATCAACGGATCCTCAAAAATGTCCAATCAAATCGTCCCCTTTCATGAGTTTGAGAATCAGACCTTAAGCACCAGTCTCGTTTCAATCCCTTTTCTTTCTTTCTTTTTTAAAGCTGTCCATCTTCACCTTGTTCCATTGCATCTTCTGATACAAACTCAACATCACTTCATGAACCGTTGATCTCTCGGTGGCAAATGGGGCTGTCTCTCTTTTTTTCTTCTCTCTTATTTGCCCTCCTGGTAAAACGTGGCGAAATGTATAAACATAGTACCGGCTAACTACTAGTTAGTTGATTAGTTCCTTTGGTACCCTAGGTGGTACGTCGTAGTACTAGTAGAAGTACGGAGTGGCATCTTAATGTCCTTTCTCTTCCTCCCCCACGGGTAAATCGTCAGGGTCGCTGACAACTTCTTTTATCATGATCCACAGCTCATATCGCATCCAAGATGAGCTGCATCTCCTGATCAATGGAGTTCCCCTCTTCAGCCTAAACTTCTCAGTGAGTCTCTATCGGGGGACTTGGCATTGGTCCTCTATAGAGTTTGGCCGAGACCGAAATAGGCATTGCGACGTAGATGTGATGATGCTGAGATGAAACCAAGCGATGCGGAGCTGAACACTCCGGAGAGAGGCGGAGCAATTCCAAACTCCTGCTCAGAAAATGAATGGGCTCTGGGTGATTTATTTATACTTGTAGACCGGATGGTCTGTACACTACGAAATGCTGCATATATCTATCTATCCGATTCTGTCTTTCTCCGTACCTCCAGTTATCACTGATAAAGACCAGGCCTTTAAGGGTCTGGGTTATATCCATTCGTCCTGGAATGCCTTGACGCCCAATCCTCTGGTTGGTATCTGACGAAGGGATCCATCCGCCAGTCATGAGCGGAGCCTCAGGAAAGGCAAAAAAAAAAAATAAAAAAAAAAAAAAAACAGTGGCCCTTATCATCCCCATTTCTCTCAACTCATAGTTATCTCCCGAATGATTGGCTATGAGGTCCCGATAAGGCCCTGGACGCCACCCTCCCGCCATGTGGGGCCTCTGCATCCGGTTCCGGCCTAGTCTTGGCTCTTCAGTCTCCACCGTACTGATAACGTCCACTTTCGGCCAATGACCGTTCGGTCGGTTCCTCGACAGGCTCCCTCAATCACCCGAATTCACTCGGGAATTTCAGGAGCGATGCTTCGCCGACTAAGCACTACCATCCCGAACCGATAAGAACTTCCGGAGGAATCGTTATCTATCTGAGGCTTGGCAGTGGGAGGAGACATGGGAGGTGTCTCCCCAATGGTCCTCGGGAAAAGAAGTCCACCGGGCTCGGATTTTTCCTTACTAGTAAATACTTTGTAGGGCTTCTTAGCTAACTTTCTGTTTATGTTATGTTATGTCTGCAAGTCTTGAATTAAAGAGATTTGTCACTATATATGATGGAGAGATGGTATGTATATACATTAGTGTATTCCCAAGGTCTACTCGCTCCCTTCGTGGCAGCAACGAATACCGATATTGCGGCGCGTTTGCTTATGTGTGTGGGGTTCAGCCTCCCAGCTCAATCTAAATCCGGTGATAGGTCTATCACCCTGTGGGCTCCGGTCAGCTAGCCTTAGCTTTCCCACTATCTAGGTAGCTTAAATAATTAGCACTAACTACCCCATTTTCCAGTGACTAACGGCCAAACCAAACACTCTATCTGCCCATCGTTCTCACGAACTCGCTCATGAGTCTCTCTTCAGCACTTAAATTCATACTACTGGGGCCCGTGTTCGGATAGTTGTCGCTTAAAAATCCGGTGTACCCCGTGGGGGTTAGCAGGCCAGAAAATAGTTGAGAACGGTGGGGCTACACTATATGGACTACATATATTACATGCATATGATCAGAACGGGCAATGGCATAGTCATTACTATTTCCAAGTTGTATCAGCTGCTTATACCCCTTTCTGCAGGCTAGGCTTAGTGTGTCCCACTATGCAGTCTCGATAGGATGCACCTGTATTTCACCTGTAGTCAGTGATTTGCCCTATGGATGCCCGTGGGAACTAGAGATAGCTACGGAGTGGCTATTTTGTTCCACCCCTTGCATGACCCGTGTGTCGAAGTTACAATGCAGCTAAGGAAGCGCTTTGCCTGAGGGATATATGCACTAGCTACCTGTATATTGCAGTGTCCCTGTAAGAAGCCAGGGGGTTCCGTGGAAACTTTCATCTTAGCATATCCAGATTTAACATTTATCGTCATCCAGTGTCCGAGACTCGGGTGTGGGGTCTATGATATAGTATAGCTTATGCATTGTCTTGCATCATCACCTTTACCATTGTGCTCACACTTACTGGGAATATATATATGCGCCACAGGGCGACTGTGCCGGGTCGGGTACAGAGCGCAATACGATAGGATTAAGAGCTCACTATACACCCGACTGTAGGCTCCAAGATATTGATTACTATTTATACGTACAGTGTTCTTCTGCCGGCTAAAACATTGATGATGGACTTGATCATAGGCTACGGAGGTAAAAGAGGGTGTTTACCAATGAGAAATACATATGTGCTATATTGTATAAGAAAGTAGAGTATATAACTCTAGCAGCTGGCCGGCTGGCCCAATGGCAAGGCGCTTGACTACGAATCAAGAGATTGCAGGTTCGATCCCTGCGTCGGTCAATTTATGTTTTTAACATATATTTTTTTAATCCTCCTTGGTACTGTGTTTGTTTGTATATATCTCTCGTTCATCTAACAACGTCATCGACAAACACAATGTTATTCCGTACAATATAAGCTCTTTTCAGTTGTCGCCCAAGAATAATAATTCTCTATAATGCATCCTCTGTACAACCAGTGCAAAGCGTATATCAACCCGGCCTTAATTAAACATTTACGCTGTATCCCACCCCAACGGCCTGCCGCCGCTTCACCGATTGGTAATATTTCCGGGCCTCGTCTACCCAAAAGACTGAGCTCGAAATACACAATAGTTTGAACAAATGTGCCAGGTTGAGCGGCTCCGTCTGGAAGACTCGCTGCAGGAAAGGCAGATAAATCACACAGGCCTGTCCGGCAAGTGATCCGAGTACGGCATAATTGAACATCTTGTTCCCGAATAGGGAGATCTCTCCACGAAGCACCGACTTGCCCTCGCTGCGGCAAGTCAAGGCGTTGAACATGTCGAAGAGCACAAAGCAGGTGAATGTCATGGTTGTGTCGTGGGCTGTTACAACGCGCGAGCGTTTGCCTGGGTTCAGCTCATCGTCGACATCGCCCATTTCGTAGACGTAAATGGCAAGCGTGCCCAGCATAATCATAAATGCGGAAGTAAGCACCCGTTGAATGAGAGGCTTCGTGAGTACCCGGGCCGTTCTGGGTCGTGGGGGTCGTCCCATGATTGACGGATCAACGGGCTCTACACCCAAGGACTGTGCAGGAGGGCCATCCATAAGAATATCTTTTGATGAATGTCAGCTACTATATCAGCTATCCAGTGCTCACAGTTGACATTAACTTACTGATCCATAGGATCTGCATCGGATTCAGCGGATTTTTGAAGCCAAGAGTAGTGCTCAACAGTACAAGACTCAATGCAGCAACGCTGGTGCTTAGCTGGAACGTAATGAAGTTCTGGATATTGTAGAAGATCCCTTTGCCCTGTTCAATGGCTCGCAGGATTGTGGAGAAATCATCGTCCGTCAAGATCATATCTGCCGCCTCCTTGGCAACGTCTGTGCCCAATTTACCCATCGAGATACCAATATCTGCTTTCTTGAGGGCTGGTGCATCATTCACACCATCACCCGTCATGGCCACCACATCTCCTCGGGATTGCAAGGCACGTACAATCTTCATCTTGTGGTCAGGGCTCGTGCGGGCGAAAATGGAAGTTGACGATATGGCCTGCGCCAACTCCGCGGTACTCATACGATCGATCTCCTCACCAGTGATGACAGGTCGCGAACCGGCTATATCACTGATTGGCATTCCCAGTTTCTTTGCAATAGCAACTGCCGTGGTATCAGCATCTCCTGTGATCATGATGATGCGTACTCCTCCAGCCATAAGGCGTCTTATGGATTTGTGAACATCCTTGCGGGGAGGGTCGTTCATCCCCACAAGTCCTGCAAAGACCAGCCCGGTATATCGGTCATCATCTTCGCCCGGGGTAGCTCTGGAAACAGGAGTGCCTGTCCTGCTGCCAAAAGGTCGCCCTTTTGATGTATCTCGCACTGCTCCACTGGCGAAAGCGAGCACCCTGAGACCCTCTGATGCCATATGCTCAGCAGCCTGCCTTACTGTTTGACGTCGGGGCTCATCCAGTATAACTTCGCGTCCATCTTTTGTAAGATACGTATCGCAACGCTTTAAAACTTGCTCAAGGGCACCTTTAATGTATGCCGTGTTACTTGACTCGCCAGTGCCATTGCCAATAATTACACCCATCCACTTGCGCTCAGAGCTGAAGGGAGTCTCGGCGACGCGGGCGCTGATGCGGTCGCGCACATCATCCTCCCCGAAAGTGTCCAACAAATCCAGGATGGCAACATCGGTGGGTTGCGACCAACCCACCTACTCTAATGGTTCCCGGAGCCCTATCATCGGTGGAAGACAACACTGCAGCAGAAGATGCGCTGGCAGGTGAATTTGCATGCACGCGCGAAAGTCTAGCGTTATTAGCGATATTACCGACACGAAGAACGGTCCGAGCTGCAGGCCCAGGCGTTAGTGAACTTATATCGTTGTGCACCTCGAATGGCTCCGGACAGTCAAAATGCCACATCTTCGTGACTGTCATATGGTTGAGCGTTAGTGTCCCCGTTTTATCACTGCATACAACATTCACAGAGCCGAGAGTCTCGACGCTGGGAAGTCTTCGCATGATAGCCCCCCTCTTGGCCATGCGCAGCACGCCCAAAGCAAGAGTAACTGTCACAATAATGGGAAGACCTTCTGGAATCGCAGCGACTGCAAGCGAGACACCAATTGTGAACATATCAAGGAGCTTTCGGCCTTGTATCAAACCTATCACTACAATCAACCCAATGACGCCAAAGGAGATATAGCTTAATTCTTGACCAAGACGGTCCATTGACAATTGAAGCGGTGTGCGTGGACTCTCAATCTCCTGCAAAGAAGCTGAAATACTGCCAAATTCAGTCTTCGCACCTGTTCCTATGACAATACCCTGTCCATACCCCGACCGAACCAAAGTTCCCATAAATGCGATGTTGTGTTGCTCATTCAAGCGGATATCAGCGCCCACAGCGCCACTGGCTGGGGCGTCGTAGAATGGAGATCGGGGGGGAGTGACAATCTTGGGCGAGTGTGTGGCTAGAGCCTTCGGGCCCCGAATTGCGTCAGGCGATTTAGCAACCGGCTCATTCTCACCAGTCAGGTTTGATTCATCGATGGTCAAATCAGTGGCTGCGGTAATGCGTATGTCCGCCGGAATACGGTCTCCAACTGTAAATAAAACCAGGTCACCAGGTACTAGCTCATTCGCTGGAACAGTAGTGGAAGCCTTGACAGCGGCAGAAACTGAGCCCGGGCTCTTGCTTCGGAGATCTTGCAGCTCGAACTCTCCACTGGTAGCTGCAGGGATCGAGTTTCCGATAGGAGGGGTATTTGAGAGAGGAACGTCGCGTATCAAATGCGCGTGATGTGGCACCAGGCGGCTCAAGGCCTCCAAGGATTTTTCCGATCGATACTCCTGAATAAATCCGACGGTGACAACGATGGTTACCGCGAGCGTGATGCTTACCGCATCATCAAGATTGCCCATAAAAAAGAGACTGCCGCTGATGCCAGAAGCAGTAGAATTAATGTCTCCCGGAATTGTTTGAGAAACCGGAGCCACAGAGGCTCGGGGTCTTCGTGCGGCAGTTCGTTGGGTCCATTTTGTATTAAACGAATCTCAGCTTCTGCAGGAGTGAGTCCGTGGGTAAGGGATGTCTGTAAGCGCTCAGAGGTTTCCTGTGGGTCTAATAGAGAGTAAGTCGACGTGGATGTCTAGTTAATGAAGTTAAAAAAAATTAGCGGCCGGACACCCAAAGGAAGCTAATTGAAAGTGCGAGCGCAGCGCGTATCAACTATATCTGCCTTACAGCGAGACTTACTGAAGTAGACGTGTTGGAGGGTACACCTGTCGGCGTAGACGACGGAGGCCTCAAGTCGGGGGCCTGAGCATTATGCAAAGGTAGCGCAGGCGTTGCGGACCTTGACATCTCTCATACTTTTTCTGTCCAAAGACGTCCTGCTAGATCGGGCTCACAATGCTTATCATCCCGTCGGGATCAAGGAGAATGTCGAGGTGGACAAGATTTTGCGAAGGCAAAGATAAAAAAGTTACGTAGAAGCCACGTTCTCGGACGCGATTTCGGCCGCAGGTGTATCGAATAATATGGGGGGACTAAGTGGAAACCAGACAAGGACCGTGCAGCCGGTTGAAGAAGAGACAAGGCTAGACCTCCAAGTCCCACCAAAGACGACGCTCTTAGGGGAGGGCCGCGTCGATCAATGTTTGGATGTTAAATTAAAAACCAACTGTCATCCTTAATTGCGGAGAGAACATGTTGTATGCAGGCGATTGTCATTGTTCCTAGCGAAGGGGTTACTCTTGGCGGTCACGCGCTTTAGCGTGGGTGCACCATAGCCTATGTACTACTACTCAGCAGTACTAGTAGTACCTAGGTATGCTATGTGACTGCCTCCAAAAGTCGCCCACACGTAAGCTCTTTGGATTGATACTGCAACCTTGAAGTGACTCGATCACCCTAAATCTGTGGATCCTACGCGGTCCTTTAGCTATTGAAGGAGAGACAGGACCTAGTCATCATTGTCTATAAAATCGTCTAGACAACTTGGTTGAGAATATACTGCTTTTGTTCACCGCTCATGATATCCGAGAGGTTAAAAGGCAGCTTTTGTAAATAAGATTTAAATCTTTTGCTCGTAAGACTTATCAATCATTCCTCGATGGTCTAACGGTCATGATTTCCGCTTGTCATCCCTTATGAGGAACAAGCGCGGGAGACCTGGGTTCGACTCCCAGTCGGGGAGAATTTTTTTGTTGAAATCTTTCAAGACATCCTTGGTTTATTCCTTTCTCTAATGGATGAACCTTACTCCGTAGGGAGTTAAGGCGAGGCTGATTGACTGCCAATCAAACCATAAAATACAAATAGACAGAATGTTTGCACCGTATTGACAATATGTCTAACCAGCAAGTGACCTAATCCCACGTGACCCCAGCCACGCAACTAAACACCCAATCAGCATCGCGTATTATCCCAGTGCTGCCCGCCGCAACCCGTTGCCAGTGGAGGCTGCCCATCAACCCGCCCGTCAGACGCGCCCTTCCTCTCTTTCTCTTGTTTCCTTTCCCTTGCGAAAACCACACCAGAGTAATCGCAATCCACCCAACCACCCCTCCTTTCCTGCACCCCTCTTTAACCTTCGGACTCGGTGGATTTCTTTACATTGCGATAATCCATATCGTCAGATATAGGATCTATCTTGCTGTCTACGGGTTTATAACCCCTTTAGGCCTTAGGGGGAGGAAGCATCAGTTGCCGATCTTTTTGTTTTCTGGATACAGCGCGTCATCGCATTTGGGTTGCTAGGGACTTCTCGCGAACCACCCCGCATTAGGCGGGCTTATACCCCTTGGAATAACCATTTCTAATATCGCTTGATACACAACGTCGTGACACCATGTTCTATTCGGAGACCCTCCTGTCAAAAACCGGGCCGCTGGCCCGCGTTTGGTTATCGGCTAACTTGGAGCGCAAGCTTTCCAAATCGCATATTCTACAGTCGGATATCGAGAGCAGTGTCAGTGCTATTGTCGACCAAGGACAAGCTCCAATGGCTTTGCGATTGAGCGGTCAGTTGTTGTTGGGTGTGGTCCGGATCTATAGCCGAAAGGCACGCTACCTATTGGATGACTGCAATGAGGCTCTCATGAAAATCAAAATGGTATGTTTGGGTGAATGATGCTGTTTCCACACATGACACTAAAGCAATAACGCCTAGGCTTTCCGCTTGACTAATAACAATGACTTGACAACCACTGTTGTTGCCCCAGGAGGTATTACTTTGCCAGATGTGCTTACAGAGTCGGACCTTTTCATGAACCTGGATTCTTCTTTGCTCTTACCCCAGCCGCTCAGTTTTGAGCCGGAGGGGAAGCGCCCAGGAACATCAATGGACTTTGGGAGCCAGCTCTTCCCAGACAGTAGTCTTCGGCGCTCTGTGTCACAGGAGCCGCGCGCCTTGAAGACCATACTTTGGTTGACCTTGACTTGGGAGAGGATGATACACCCTTGGGCCATGACTTCAGTATGGAAGTTGGTCGAGATGCGCCCGCACCTCGTCCCGTTGAAGAGGATCTTTTTAGCGATGCTGGCAAGTTCAACGATGTTGATCTGCCTTTGGACCTTGGCGAGGATGATTCTCCCTTAGACAAGATGGACCTGGCCAACGAGGGCCCACAAGACTCTCTTCTGCAGGCGGATGATACAGCCATGGATCTTGGTGATGATGGAGAACTGGCATTCGAAGCCGAAGAGCGCAGGCTCGATCGCGACTCCATGAGCGTCCTCTCAGAGATGCCAGACGCAGACATGGAAAGACTCCAACAAGAGCAAGGTGAAGATCAGGATGAGGTAGAGGGAGAGGCAGAGGATGATGTGACTGCCCGACACTCGCAGCGCACGAAGCGACGAAAGGTTATGACCGTGGAGCTTGACAAGGAAACTGATTACAAGGCCCATATTATAAAGGGTTTGCAAGCGGATCGCTCTACTATCTTGAAGCCGACGTCCTTCCTGCCTCGTGATCCTGTTTTGCTCACTCTCATGGACATGCAAAAGAATGGCGACTTTGTGACGAATGTGCTAGGAGGAGGTCGCGGACGTGGGTGGGCTCCAGAACTTCGTGACTTGCTCTCCTTCGATGCTATTAAGAAGGCTGGTGAGCTCAAGAGGAAGCGTGATAGCGGAATTGCAGACATGGAAATCGAGACAGCTACTGCCCCTGCTTTGGAATTTGGCGAAGAAGATGCCATCGTACCGATCGATGAAGGTGTTGGTCTTGACTCAACGCTTCATCAGCGGTCTGATATCGAATTCCCCGGCGACGACGACGATCAAGGTTTGCATGTGAGTGACGATGAGGGAATGAATCATTCCCTGGAAGAGCTCGATGACACTATCCAACCTGCGGACAGTGGCCCTGTTTCCGTTGGTACCAAGCATGCTGTTCACATTCTCCGCGACTGTCTAGGTGAATCTGCAGTGGAACAGAAGAGGAGTGTGAAGTTCCAGGATCTTCTACCCGAACGCAAGGCGTCCAAGGCGGATGCGACGAAGATGTTTTTTGAGGTTTTGGTTTTGGCCACAAAGGACGCCGTCCAGGTTGAACAACGCCCTGATACCGTTGGTGGCCCTCTCAAAATCCGTGGCAAGCGTGCTCTCTGGGGTTCATGGGCTGAAGAGAGCGCCAATGGGGAAGTAGGCACTCAACCTTCCCAGGTGGCAGCTTAGAGCGATGCACCAACTGCAGAGATCTGGGCCTATGGAGGTGTCAGGTGTATTTCTGTACAGGACGTTGTGTTCGAGTGGCCAATTATTACTCATCGTTGCTTCTACCCTCTTCTTTTTACTGCTCTCCTTTAACTTTTTTTTATTTTTTGGCCGGGTTCCCATGAGGGCTTGTTATCTGGATGCGGGAAATTATTCATGTAATGAAACACTGGTGTCATGGAGTTGTCTGTTTGGGTTGAAAAGGTAGCTATTGAATGACTGTTTGGGTCCTCGTTCCAACGCTAGAAAGTTGGCCTTTCTTATTGTTGTGGGCGAGCTTCTAGGGACGATACTTAAAGGGGGGTTTTCTAATTTCTTTCTTCACATAGGTCTAGGTATAGAAGCGAACAATTGAACTTTGTATGATCCATTACGAGACTTGTAACAGCTGTGTTCACGTGGGGGTGGGACACATGTGGCCCGGGGAATTTCCCGCACTTGATGTATGTACATACGCAGTAGTTCTCTATCAAAACTTAAATGATATCCAACGTCCTGGGGGAACATGTTGAGATAGAGCCAGATGACTCTGATATGAAAATAAAATGAAAAGGGGAATTTAGGAGCAAAGAAAAAACTGGGAAAGATCAAGTTGCCGTTTAACAGTTCATACATACGATCTACCCCTGCAACGACGAAAAAGGATATATGTAGTATAGCTGTGTGATCCGTCTCCACTGATAATGCTGTGGCAATCGGCCGAGGAAAAAGCCGACTAGACTAGTGCCAGTGGCTATTAAAAAGATTCAATCCAGATTGATCAGCAAGAACCAGACTAACCGGTTTATGTAGTTAGCACAATCCTCCTCAATGTGACTAATAATTGCTTGACTTTGCAGGCTTTATCTTGCTCGCTCGATTATCAGACACTGGATATTTATTGAAACCCTCGGTTCCTCCCCGAACCCCATTTTTCGGTCAATCTCCCCAGAGGTCTTCAAAAGCAAGTATGCTTAGGGGGTGTGACTCGACTTTGCCCTCACCAGAGTGATTATTGCCAGCATTCATTTATTTCAAGCTATCGTCATTGAGATACTTTAGTATTTGGGGCTATCATTTGCTACACAGTCGAGACATAGCTTTCATATTTTCAAAATCTCCGATAGCATTAGCGAAAAACTACAAGAGAGTAGGGCTCTACCTCACTGCTCGATCATGACTGCGTCACAGCGGGCGGTATCGCCCCTCAGGCAAGTTCAGAGTGCCGATGCGGACTCAACCAGGCGCTCCACAAGCGAGGAAAGAAGCGAGGCAGATGAGTTGGAGAAGGTGAGATCAGATGAATATATGAGCGGCACATTTGCGCCAATCCAAAACCCCCCAGCCGACGAAGAGCGGATGCAGAAGTTGCACTCCACCAGCTCACGTCCCATCGAACGCAGCTGGTCTTTGAATGATGGATACAGCTGCCATACCGCGGATGAAGAAGCCGCAGAAATTGCTCTTGGTGATGATGGGGGCGAGGCAGATGAATCGTCTACCTTTATTGTTAGCTGGGACGAGAATGACCCGATGAACCCTCGGAACTTCAATACCATGAGACGGTGGTTGATTGTTATCATTTGCTCGCTGGGCTCTCTTTGCGTGTGAGTAGTGGGTGTTGTATCGTTGCTTTCGCTGTGCTGATGCCTTGTCGAAAGGACTTGCACCTCGTCAATGTATACCGCTACCTACGACCAGATAATGGATGAATTCAAGTGTTCTCGATTAATCGCAACGCTCGGGCTATCGTTCTTTATATGGGGCCTTGGTAGGTCTCACAGCCATCAGGAATTTGCTTGGCTTTTATGTATAGGTTCTGACCTCTACTCATCCTAGGTATTGGCCCGCTTTTTCTGGGACCCCTATCAGAGGTCTGCATACCCAACACCAAACATCACCACCCTAGCTAATTCTCCTTAGTTTTATGGCCGAAGATACATCTATATTACCTCATTCACCTTATTCTTGATCTGGCTCATTCCTTGCGCTGTGGCTAAGAATATTGAGACTATGATCGTGTGCCGCTTTTTTAATGGTATCGCTGGGAGCGCATTTCTCAGCGTTGCAGGTGGTACGGTAGGAGATTTATTTGCTCGCCATGAACTAAGCGCGCCTATGATGCTGTACACGGCATCACCTTTTGTTGGACCTGAAGTCGGACCATTGTGAGTTTTGCTACTAGCCCCGATTGCTGAACAGTTGTCAGTTGGGTTTGCGTTGCGATGATTGACAAGACTCAGGGTTGGTGGGTTCATAAATCAATTCACCACATGGTATATCTACCTAGCCGTCTATCTGGAAATAACTGTGGCTGACGCTTGTACGACATGTTCTCAGGCGCTGGACCTTCTATGTGCTTCTTATCTGGACAGGCATATTGCTGATTTCAATCGTTCTCTTCGTCCCGGAAACTTATCACCCTGTGTAAGTGAAATTGCCAAAGCTTATTTTCTAGACACTCGTTTCTTAACACTAATCCCACTAGAATTTTGCGGCAAAAGGCAGAGAAACTTCGCAAAGAGACAGGGGATGACCGGTGGAAAGCACCGATTGAAAGATTAAATCGCTCGGTGGCACGAACCGTCTTACGCTCGATCTACAGGCCAGTGCTTCTCCTGACACTGGAACCTATGTGCTTGTGCCTCTGTGTGTTCTCAGCTATCTTACTGGGTATAATATATCTATTTTTTGGTGCTTTCCAGCTGGTATTTGGCAACGTGTATGGCCTTGAACTGTGGCAGCGCGGTCTTTGCTTCCTCGGCCTGTTTGTGGGAATGATTTTTGCTATTGTATCTGATCCCTTCTGGCGTCGCGTCTACCAACGCTTGGAAGAGAAACACAAGAACACGGAGGGAACAACAGAAGACTTTCAACCAGAGTGGCGACTACCTCCAGGTGCGTATGCTCTTGCCCAGTATCTTTCAGGTGAACCAGAACTGCTAATCACACGGTGCAGCGATTCTCGGTGGTCCTCTTGTTACCATAGGGTTGTTTATATTTGCTTGGACAATTTATCCTTATGTGCATTGGATTGTACCCATAATTGGCAGCGCATTCTTTGGAGCCGGGTGAGTTTAACACAAGGCTGGCAATATAGCTTCCCTGAAGTTTTGATTCCTGCTGCAACCCTGGCCACGTAGATCATAAATGCTAATGAATTCTGTCTTGGATAGGACCATTCTTGTATACTCGGGCATTTTTACGTTCTTGGTGGATGCGTATCCAGTCTTTGCTGCAAGTTCCTTAGCAGCGAACAGCTTCGCTCGCTCAACGTTCGGTGGTGTTTTCCCCCTTTTTGGAATCCAAAGTAAGTGATCTTTTTTTTCCTCTTTTTTTTTCAATCCCCCCCCCCCCAATACCATGTTGCATAGCCCTTATGTCTGTTCGTTACACACCAAAGGGTCCAGGCAAAAACGGACCAGAAGCACTATAACCTGATAACACACTCCACTATACGATTTAGCTTATTCTAAGAAACCACACTGTCATCAATGTCACGGAGCTTCCTGCATTGCTGCTATTGTTAGACGCACCGACTTTAGACCGCTAGGTACTGACAAATGGACTTAGTGTACAAAAACCTGGGATACCACTGGGCTTCTTCGCTGCTCGCTTTTCTGACGCTTGTTATGGCGCCATTCCCGTAAGTCCCCCAAACTTTTGTCATCAAATTCATTGCTTGCCTACATCGTGTTGTCTGCTATATAGCTTGGAATTGGTGGCCCTTGCATACCAACGCTGCAGCTACAATGGCATGGTATATCCAACGCCCTTGGCTTTAGGGGTTTCCCTTGACCTCTGGGCAAATTTCCTGCCGGTACTGGGATCCATGAGCATTTTGATGCAGCTGTAGATCTGGTCAAGCAATGGTTAATTGAGAGCTAACGGTAATCGGGACGGCAGGTATATCTTTTTCCGGTACGGTAGTCGCATTCGGCAAAAGAGCCGATTTGCTGCCCGATAGATATCCACTTCTTCTCGGTCCGGATGAAGGATCTGTGTCTCTTATCTCGGCCCCGGGATGAGTTCATTTACCCTGGACGTCGAGTCCCTAGGGCCCGGACTAATATGGTAAGAATTTGGTGAATCGGCTTGCTTATAGTACAGCGGGAAGTGGGACGACTATTGCTTAGATGGGCAATGGATTCAAGCATGTACGGAGTACATGTATGTATGTACATACATACATACACACGTTGTGTACGCGCATAGAAAAATGTAATAGATGATGGTTTTGTAAAGTATAGATGGAAGCCTCGTGCTTCTCGAGTAGACCTGATGCGGCCACTCTGCAGGGGATAAAACATATACCTGCAATCCCGTACAGCTTATATGACGGGAACGAGTGCGGGCCGACCAACAAACATATGTCGAAATGTCCAGCTTGCTAGGTAGCGTAATTGAAACCCCTTGAACCCTTCTAGAGCCAGTGCCACCCGTAGACCGAATGATGACAGTCCAATCAAATCGTAACGGAACACGGGGAAAGCACGAGGCCCTACAATGAGGGTAGGACATGGCAGATCACCTCGAGAGGACCAATTTATTTCAGCTGTCAACCATTTTCACCGAATTGATCGGTCGAGGCATTGCTACTTGCCTAGGAGAAGTACTCCGGAGTAAGTACTGTTAGGGTTACTCAGGAACCGAGGCAAATACTGGGTTTGGATGTCGGGGAACGACGGACGAATGACTAGGGGAACATGCCGGAAAGACCCGGGGGATGTAGGTAAAAATGGCTCATACTGAAAGTATTCAGCGCATTTTGTTGGCTGGCAATCCTTACGAGGGCTTTTGGTTACCTGGTTAGGTTAAAATTAGTCGTTGCCTTGCGATGATGAGGGTTTCGTGTGAATTCGCCATAGTTTAGTTAGTGGTATGTCCATAGCAATACTAGTAGTTCGGACTAGAGGAGAAACATGGTGTATGGACTAGTACTCGGTAATTAAGACTACCAACACGTGGGATCTCTAAATACC